TGAATATATTTTTTTCAATCCTTCACCATAGTTTAAATTTTGTAACTTCTTGGCCAAAATATGCAATTTTAATGCATTAATATGTGAAAGAGCTATCACCTCAAATTTGCTTCAAGAAAACAATGCTACAATTGACCACATGGCAATATACTGACAAAGGGATTTGCATACTTTCAATTTTACAGTGAACACACAGCGCCATCTGCTGCACAAGCTTTGGAAACATCAACCAAACAAGAAATATCCAAAAATCAAATAAGGTGTTGGGGGGAAAAGTGAAGAGGGGAATCCACTATTGAGATTCACATTTTTTCACTTTATCATTATTACCTCTGAATAGATTTTTTAAATTTTGTATATGCAGCAAATCATTTTCTTTCACACACGTCTAGAGTTCTTAGCTGGATCCCTTTTTGTCTCACTTCTCTTGATAGTGTGGAATAGCTGTGAGGGGCAAATCCCCAAAGACAACAGCAAAATGAAATCTCTAGTCCACCACTCATAACAGGAACTGGACATCGATGATACAGGGGAACTTTGGATACTATTCAAAACTACTTTCATTCAAAGCAGAGTCATAGTGTAAACCTGCCCATACTAGCAAATGAGAACAGAAGACAACAATGGGAAAAATGGGAAAAGCATTAGTACATCTATTAAAAACTGTTCTACCAGCTGTCGAGGGATGAGACACCAAGTGAATCTCAGGTTCCCAGTTTTTAATAAGTTACAAAATCAGTACTGAAGGTATAATGGATGATGAAATATACAATGGAAAATGATAAATAATATTCAGGCATTTTCAAGAAAAAGCACAAAAGTACATTTTGTACAATACACCACATTCAAAATTTACTTTGTCTAAACTGTATGAAATTTACAATATATAATATCATTTTTAATGACATAAATTTATTTATACTGACTTTCTATATGTAGTTCTATGCACAAAATAATACTTTCCATCCTCCTTCCTTTCTTTTTGTTATTTTAATTTTTGCAATAACTTACTTTCAATTTACTTTTTAGTCACAGGCTTAATCCTCCACTAAATGAAGAATTCAACAATATAAAGTAGAAAGACCACTATTCCACAGTAGTATAGACAAGGGCTATATAATTAATATCATTTGAAACTATTCTGAAATATGGACTATCAGTAAAAGATGACAAAAGCCAAAAAAACCCTTTTAAATAATACACATTTTTAGAAGATGAAGAATGTATTATACTTCTATGTGTCTTAAAATGATTAGTTTTTTCTTAGATAATTTTGATGCAATCTAAACCTGAAATTTTGAAAACATTTTCCTAGTAAGAAAGACTTAAAATTCTAATTGACTCATGCAACTAGATGAAATAATTGCAAAGCAGTTAAGAAAAAAAACTTTTTAAAATTTTCCAGGTTTTTATTTATTTAAAAGGCAGAACAATAGAGAGAGAGAGAGAGAGAGAGAGAGAGAGAGAGAGAGAGAGAAATCTTCCACCAGCCGGTACACTCTCCAAATGCCCATAATAGCCAAGGGCTGAGTCAGGTTGAAGCCTGGAGTCTGGAATTCAATCTGGTCTCCTATGTGGGTAGCAGGGACCCAAGTACTTGAGCCATCACCTGCTGCCTGGTAGATTGTACATTAGCAACAAGTGAGATCAGAAGCAGAGATGGGACTTGATACCGGGTACTCTGATATGGGATTCAGACGACTTAAATATTGCACCAAATGCACTTCTCTGAATTTCAGTATTAAAAGAAAATGAATGTGCCTCCTATCTAGAACATTTTAAGGTAAGCTTTTGTTTTTTAAAAGTTTGGAGCACCCTCTAGTGGAAAAACTGGTAACAAGCTTCTGTTACTGAAGTTTTACAAATCAACTTCCATTAAACAAGTAACAGATCTGGGCCAATAAAATACATTATGTAGACTCCACTTTCTAGATCTCATTCCTAAATAACACATCCCTCCATCAATATATAGAGATGAACAAGCTCTTCTCAAAGTCCAGCAGAAAGTGCTCTGCTACATTATCAGATAAACTTTTTATTAATTTAAAAGGAAGAGATGCTAGGATCTAGGAGTACAATATAATACCAGTGTAATGCTAATCTATACATTAGAGAATTCCATTGAGGTTATAAAGCGATTATAATCTGGAAACAAATGGAATCACTTTGGTAGCTGATTTTAATTAAAAAACAACACATGAAAACATCTTCCAAAAAACAATTCTCTCTACACACATCATAAAGTTTTATAAATATTCTTGACTGAATTAGTCAAGGACCTCCATGATAGCTTGATTATAATCCTTTGAAGTTGATTATTAAAGAGAGGACCTGGCCTGACATACCAAATCAATCACAGATGATTTTTCACATGCAGTAACTTAAAATGACTCTATGGAATTTCAAAATATGTGAATAGGTTTATTATATTAAAAGCTAGTCTATAATTGATATATTATGTTTTTATCCAACGGACTAACTTAAAGAGTAAGATGAAAATCTATTTTCTGCAAAAGGATAGCCTAGAGAGTAAAAGTCTAAACAGAAAAGCAGAGATGTTTATTCATTCATTAATTAAAAACTGACTTACTGAAACTCTAGCTAGGTTTTGTTCCAGCTCTGGAGGTATAGTGTTAACCTGGATTAACAAGGTCGCTGTTCTCCTGGAACTTACATCCTTAGTAGAATAAGATGAGGATAAGGAGTCACCAAGTTCCATGGGGGTAGAATCCTGTCTTTTCTGTTTACTTTGATATTTCCAGTATCTAGCAGATGTTTAATACATACTTTTAAAATTAAACAAAAAGATAACTTCATCTAGCAAAAAAGCACTCTAAAGAAAACAAGGGTAATAAATAGAGTAATACAGAACAAAGCACATTTGCTAAACAGTTAGAAAGGACTTTTCTAAGGCGATACCATAAGAAAATGGACTTACAAGCAGCTTTTAAGTCATTAAATGAAACAGAAAGAAGAAAGAATAATGGCGCCTGCCTGAGGCAGAAGCATATTGATACTCAGAAGATAGTTGGAGGGGGAGCCATGACAAGGTCACAGTAAAGAGTTGAGATTGTACTGTAATTGTGTAGGGAAGCTTCAAATGGTGTGAAACAGGAAAAACGAAGATAGCAGTCAACTACATGAACTATTCTGGAAGTACAGAATAGACGAGATTTGCTACTAAGTTCAACACCTGAGATGAGGACAAGAGCAGTACTAAAAATAACTTCCAGGACCAGAGGATGAACGACTAGCTAGATGATGTTGTTGTTTACTGAAATGAGAAAATGATGTAAGGAGGGGATTTTAGGCAAGGAGAAGAGGAAGGAAGATAACCTTTACAACTAGCCAAAAATAGGCAGGATTCAAGTAAACAACCGGGCATTTTATTTTTTTAAAGATTTACTGATGTAGTTGAAAGTCAGAGTTACAGAGAGGTAGAGGCAGAGAAAGAGACATCTCGCATCTGCTGGTTCATCCCCCAAATAGCTACACTGGCTGGAGTTGGGCTGATCCAAATCCAGAAGCCAGGAGTTTCTTTCAGGTCTCCCATGTGGGTACAGGGGCCCAAAAACTTGGACCATATTCTGCTGCTTTCCCGGGAGCATTAATAGGGAGCTGGATCAGAAGTAGAGCAGCTGGGACTCAAACCAGCCCCCATATATGATGCCGGTACTTCTGATGGCAGCTTTACCAGCTTCACCACAGCATTGACCCCAGCAACTGGGCATTTTAATTTGAATTTAATGAAATGGATTGAGGTACAGAGCTATAAATTTGGAAGTTTTCAGCATAGAGACGACACTTAAAGACATGAGACTAAACAGTTATCAGGGAGGATGATAAGAACAATTGTTCCATGGAATTACAAAGGGAAAAAGAAAAACAATTAAAGATAGATGAGTTAAGCATAGTTTGATAAGAAAAAGAATTTTCCAATATTTTTCTTACCAGAGCTACAGAATTTCAAACTGCATACATTATGAGCTTTCCACCAAAAAAGGGAATTTGAAATACCGAAGCAAAAGTTAGATGACTATCTGTAGAATTACTACTAAAGTGTTGTTACAAAGGATGAAGATTTTCTAAATATCCTTCTGCCTGGCGTTTAAAGGACAGTTAAGACTCTGTTCTATCTTCACTTATGCAATTTATTTTGCTAATAAGATTACAGATAAAAATCACCAAACTCTCAAATGCATGTACGATAACAATTATTTGTTACCTGTTTTTGTCAGCAAAAGGTTATCCAGGTGTCTGTCTCCAACTCCAAGTATATATGTAATCACACAATATCCAGCTGCCGTAATAGAAGAAAAAAAAAAAACATGAAAAACACATACAAAGCAGGTTACATATTCCCTGGAATATAAAAGCAGTTTGTGCCACTTCAGTCTCAATGTGCTTTCTATTGTTTCTGAATTCTCACTTGAATTTTGAATTTGTAATCTTCTTTCTAGAAGATTTTTGTAATTTTGTAATTTGTAATCTTCTCTCTAGAGAGTCTATCACCTGAAACTCAAAAGAAATCAGTATTTGCACAGAAACAAAATCTTTAAAATTGGGTCCAATTAAAAGCTATCTGTATCAAAAGTTATATTAGTTGTCAGCAATAATAACCTATGCCTACCATTTATCATTTCAAATTGAACATCAGTTAAAGATGACATTGAAAAACAATTATCTACAGAAATATACATAAAGTTTACTGATACTCATCCCTTATCCCATAACTGTGTCATCCACAAGAATACAGAAATAAATGCAGGACTTAAAAAAGAATTTGAGGCCGGCACCACGGCTCACTAGGCTAATCCTCCGCCTTGTGGCACCGGCACACCGGGTTCTAGTCCCGATCGGGGTGCCAGATTCTGTCCCGGTTGCCCCTCTTCCAGGCCAGCTCTCTGCAGTGGCCAGGGAGTGCAGTGGAGGATGGCCCAAGTGCTTGGGCCCTGCACCCCATGGGAGACCAGGATAAGTACCTGGCTCCTGCCATCGGATCAGCGTGGTGCGCCGGCCGCGGCGGCCATTGGAGGGTGAACCAACGGCAAAGAAAGACCTCTCTCTCTCTCTCTCTCACTGTCCACTCTCTGCCTGTCAAAAAAAAAAAAAAAAAGAATCTGTACAGAAACAATCTTGACGTTGTCAGCAGTAGGCAAGTCAAATACATTTTATTTTGCTGAATGGTAAAGATATTATGAAGTTTGTACACTCATCTTCTAAAGTATTAATAAAATTCCTATGATCAAGGCTACAGATGAATTATTGGGTCAAATTTTTTTTAATCTTTCTCTTGTAAAGAAAAAGTCTGGAAACCTCCCATTTATTGCAACAAATTATTGTAGCCTATTTTTTCCCATTATTTCTAATCCTCCCACTAGTAACCTGACAGGTAGAACAACTTGCAAACACACAAATATATGACAGTATTTATATAAAACATGCTAATTTCATCCCATATGTAACAATAAAACTGGACTGTTAATGGCCAAATTGAGCCTCATAAAATTCAATAAATATTAAGGTTCATTTGACTCAGGTTCTGAAGGCCATTTCAGAAGTCAAAAAATGATTTAAGCAATAGTATCATCACTGGACAAGTTATTAATTGTTAATTAATAAGCAAAGTTACAATATACTGAGGCTGGGGTACTAGATAGGCATATTAAATTCATTATCTCTAACCCTTTTAATGAAGCCAGTTAAGTATTGTAACACTGCCTCAAATGGCTAAACTCATGCTCCAGGAATTATCAGAATGTCCAACGAAGGTTACTGGCCTCAGCTGTGTGTCCACCAAATATAGTTGCCTGGAGAACACTGTGAAATAGAGTGCTGACTCAGCTGGGAGGTTAGCTTTTCAAACCTCTTACCTCTTCTCCTTCTTGGCTAGGCTGCAAACATGATCACTGCAGTTGTGGCAGTGATTTGGGACCACAAGCAAAAAGGCCAAGAGAATCAGATAGATCTCCTGTTGGTTTTAACCTCCTTAAACAGTTTAAACATAGTAATCCTTTACATCTATCTGGTCTTGGTACAGAAACAAAAAATACTCTGAATGTATTTAAATCACTATAGATATATTATGTTAATTGCAGCTGAGTACAACTGCTATCACATTTAGTAGTCCTCTGGGGGGACTTGAAGAGTACCTACATGAAGGAGAGCAATCTGAACTTGAAGGCAGAATCTGCTTCCCCTCTGTTCAGGTAAAGTTTATTGTCTTAAGCACTACCATGGCAAGGTTGACTAGTTACAATAAAGACCGCCTATAGTGAAAAGCTAAAATATTTACCATCTGCAAAGCCTTGGGAAAAAAATGTTTGATTAATGTATTATTATACATGAATAATAATTATATAAAAATTATTCGATTATCAGTCATGGAAAGCCAAGACACTCTGGCAAAAGATCTCTGTGAGTGAGATCCCAGTGGAAAGAACAGGTCATCAAAGAAGGAGGTACCTGTCGCTCCCCCTCTTCACGGAGGAACGACACAGGACCCTGCGTTGTTCTTTTGTCTGCTCGGCCCTCCCCGGGTTTGCTGCTGGTTCTTCCCGGGTTGGCTACCGACCCTTCCACCTCCGTGGAAGGGCGGTTCCCCCTAGCCACTTTCCCCACTTCCGCGGGGGAGTGGCATACCGCCGGCCGGCTCTCTCAGGGGCTGCACAGGTGTTCCTTCAGATAGATGTTCCTGGTGCATGTTGTCTCTCTCCTCCTTTATAGTCCTCTTCCGCCAATCCCAACTCTGCTACCCACACGCCGAGTACGCTGCTCTCCTGCAATCAGGAGCAGCTCCTGCAGCTTGTCAAGTTGGTGAAAGGCAGCTGGGTAGAAGCTGTTTGCTCCTCTCCCAGCGCCATATTGTGGGAGAGCAGATGCATAGAATAAGTCTTAATTCCAGTAACTTAGTCTAGTCCGAGTTGCTCCCAGTTGCTCCCCACAGTACCTTTCTCTGAAGGGAGGAGAGAACCTCCACTTTGACTATGACCTTGTCTAAACAAGATAAGAGTCGGAGAACTCAGAGGGCTTCCATAGCCTTGGAAACTCATGACTGGAGCATAGGGAGATTACTGATGCCATAAACAAGAGTGTCAATTGGTAAAGTCAACAACAGGAGTCACTGTGCACTTACTCCTCATGTAGGATCTCTGTCCTTAATGTGCTTTGCATTGAGATTTAATGCTATAACGAGTACTCAAACAATATATTTCACTTTGTGTTTCTATGGGGGTGCAAACTGTTGAAATCTTTACTTAATGCATACTAAACTGATCTTCTGTAGAGACATCAGAAAAGAATTATCAATTCCCAACTTGACTCTCACTGAGATTAAACATGACAATAGGTCTGATCTGATTTCACCATCATTAAAAAAAATCATCTATTATTTTCCACTTTATGTTTCTGTGGGGAAGCAAACTGTTGAAAATCCTTACTTAATGTATACTAAGCTGATCTTCTGTATATTAAGATAATCGAAAATGAATCTTGATGTGAATGGAAGGGGAGAGGGAGTGGGAAAGGGGAGGGTTGTGGGTGGGAGGGACGGTATGGGGGGGAAGCCATTGTAATCCATAAGTCGTACTTTGGAAATTTATATTCATTAAATAAAAGTTAAAAAAAAAGAAAAAGAAAAAAGAAAAAAAAAAACAAATCCCAACATTGAAAAAAAAATATTCGATTATCAACAAGATCCACAATCTGACTATGTCACTATCAACTGGGAGCTTGTTAAACAGGTAAACTATTAAGCCTCACCTCAGCACAACTGAAACAGAATTTCCTAGTGGCAATGGCCACAAGGTCATCTTGAAAAAAAAAATTATTTTATTTATTTGAAAGAGTTATTGAGAGAGAGGGAGAGACAGAAAGAGATCTTCCATTTGCTGGTTCACTCCCCAACTGGCCACAACAGCCAAGACAGGAACAGGAACTTCTTCCAGGTCTCCCAGGTCGGTGCAGGGGACAGGCACTTAGGCCATCTTCTACTGCTGTTCCCAAGCCACTAGCAGAGAGCTGAATGGGAAATGGAGCAGTTGGGCTAGAACCAGTGGAGTTGCAGTCAGTGGCTTTACCCACAAGCCATGGCGCAGGCCCCTTCCTAATAATCTTTAACATCTTGTGATGGGCTTGTGGTGCTGTGGTGTAGTGGGTAAAGTAACCACCTGCAGTGCTGGCATGCTGGCTGCTCTGCTTTGGAACTAGATCCCTGCTAATGAAGCTGGGAAAGCAGCTGGTGGCCCAAGTGCTTGAGCCCCTGGACCCACTTGGGAAACCAGGATGAAACTCCTGGCTCCTGTGAACCAATGGATGGAAGATCTCTGTAACTCTGCCTTTTATCAAATAAATACCAAAGTTTGGGAAGCCTGATCTAGTATTTGAATTACATTAAGAATCACCTGAGAATCTTCTTAAAAATGCAGATTCAGATTAAAACATCAGGGGCATGGCCTGAGATTCCATAACATAAACAGGCCCAGGTGAAGCCAAAGCTGCGGGTCCATGGATTGCACCTTGAGAGTACTTCTCTAAAACAGTTACAAAGTATGCAATTCCACAGATACTAAAGGCTCCGCATTGCAAAACTAAGTGACTTACTGAAGGACTATAAATTTATTATTTAAAAAGTGGCATTTAATACACTGAGAACACATTAAAACTCAGTATACTAGTTCAATGTGACTCATTATGTGTGAAAAGCACAAAATTACTGACACTATGCACATGAAGAGACTTGAAAATTCTACTGCTTCAAAAAAGAGCAAGATTGTGTATCAATGCAGCTGAATTGTTAGAAGGACTTATTCTTATTTGCGCTTTTTATAAATTTCAAGCAGTATCATTTTATCAGTATTAACTTCTTTTGAGTTGTTTATCCCTACAAAGTACTTATTTAAATGTTCAACAGCAGTTTTAAAGATTTATTTAGTTATTTGAAAGGCAGAGTTAGAGAGAGCACTTTCATCTGCTGATTCACTTACAAGTGGCTGAAACAGTGAGGGCTGGGCCAAAAATATCTTGAAATACATGAACTTTTATGGAGCACTCTTGTATATGGTTAAATTTAATGGCAGAGTTGATCATTTAGAGTGTTTCAATAATTTAAAATGTCAATTCTTGAAGGGTACGTTAGCCTAAGATTTCATATCCTGAAGACAAATTGGAGGCAATATCAGAAATGTTTAGGAGATTAACAAATTTCATAATGATCAGAGATGGCCTAGCATGGACTTATTAGAAAAATTTTAGAGAAAATTAAGTTATTCTTTAATTACACAATGGAAATTCTATACCTGTCCAACAATATTTGTCAAAGAATATCATTAGTTTTTTGACCCCATGTGACATACACAACATCTTGCAATTGGCTTTAAAACAACTATAAGTAAAATACAAAGAAAAATAGATCATTAAATAATATAATTTCCCTTTACATATGCGAATGAAGATATGTCTGCAAGAATAATCAATAATCCCACATTTATTTGTAAGATACAGACCTGATACACAAACGTTGTTTGATGTGGAAAAGATGTTACCACACTATTTCCAATTTCTTAATTTATACCCTGCCAAAAATCTAAAATACTGTCTTCTAAACTGAAAGTTACACAAAGATCTTCATGATAATCTACAACATTCATATTCTGGTTCAAAGGAACCAGAATTCTCTAACGAAAAATTCAAATAATAACCGTCATTCTCTAACATTACCGACACTGCTACCAAACTTACAGAAACACAATAGATTATTTTATAACACAGCAAGACATATTGAAAACAGAGGTATTCAACACAAGGAAAAGCCCTGCCATCCATGAAGCTAATGGATGAATAAGTGCGTAATGTAGGAAAAAGAGAAGAGTAAGATCTAATTTGAATTTAACTGTCTAACACGTCTGATAATTTAAACTGCTATTTTTTCCACATGAAAACACCATTCATACTTTCATTAGCTCTTGGGGAAAACTGGATCATTATGTAAAAGATATTATGCTATGAAATTAAGCATATACCTACTACATACTACTTCGAAAATTTTACCAAATTAGCAGGATTTTTCAAATTTCAGTGAATATTTAGAGTAGTTGTATATATGTGTTTCAAAAGGAAAGTTTAAGCATTCCTTTATTTAACAGATGTATGACCTAAAAAAGCTTATAGTAACTATTCTGAAAGCTATGCAAAACATCAAAAGATAATTATTTTAGGGCATGCAAAATACCTCATGTAATTACTTGTAATTACTGAAAACTAGGTGTACTGGAGTAAAGATGGTCACACATTCTTTGATATCTTTTTCAGTCAGAAGTTTGACTACATCCTGTACCTTTGAATCCAGGAATGCTCTATGACTTCTGTGACCAAGAAAATGTGATGTAAGTGATAGAATAACAGTTTCTCAGTCCAGGCTGTCAAAAAACAACTTTTTCTACTTCCTGTCTTTTAGAAAATTTGCACTCAGAAATCCAAGCCACAGAGAAGCCATGTACAGGCTAGTTAATTGACCTGCCTAGTGAAAAGGCAGTATACATCATCAGTCATGTGAGTGACTCGTGTCATAGTCAGTCAATTTACTAAGTCACAGAAAACACAGACTTGTAAGTCTGAGAAAAAAGTAAAAGAAAAACAAAATGGGAGAAAGGAAGACAGGCTGGAGGAAAACAGACAAGCAATGTGAGAGAAACAGAGTAAGAGCCAGAGGCAAACACCTCTTCAAACCTTAAGTGTTCTTTAGTCTTTAAAATATACTGACTTGTGACTGTTTTTTACAGGATTGTTGGGAAGAACAAAAACTACTGTATAAAAGAAAGAAATTTCTAAACCATAAAATAATATGGAAGCTTAAATATAGATGTTAAATGTCTAGAAAGTCCTATCTTGCTCCCTGTACCAGGCTTTGCTTGTGTAAGCATATGTATAAATATGGACATAAACCTAAATACCACATTTATAAAACAGATATATTATATACCAAGCAGAGCTCAGTTTCACTCTCAATGCCTTTTTAATCTTTCCTTAATCGAGATAACTTGTAATTATGAAATATTAAACGATTTTAAAGATATATTAAAGACTAAAATGAATGTATACCATGTCACCACCATAATGTCAAAGAATTAATGATTTTATCAACAATCTTGAATCTTTTTCTCTTTTTCTAATAGAGCTTTTAAATTTTTTTTTTTTTTTTTTTTGACAGGCAGAGTGGACAGTGAGAGAGAGAGACAGAGAGAAAGGTCTTCCTTTGCCGTTGGTTCACCCTCCAATGGCCGCCGCGGCCGGCGCGCTGCAGCCGGCGCACCGCACCGATCCGATGGCAGGAGCCAGGAGCCAGGTGCTTTTCCTGGTCTCCCATGGGGTGCAGGGCCCAAGCACCTGGGCCATCCTCCACTGCACTCCCGGGCCACAGCAGAGGGCTGGCCTGGAAGAGGGGCAACCGGGACAGAATCCGGCGCCCCGACCGGGACTAGAACCCGGTGTGCCGGCGCCGCTAGGCGGAGGATTAGCCTAGTGAGCCGCGGTGCCGGCCATCTAATAGAGCTTTTAAATTTTAACATCTTCTAAATGCAGATAAATATAGCAGTATCAGGATAATTTGCTTTTTCATTAAAACACATGAATGGAACATAAGCCTGGAAAACTTACCACAGCTTTTAACGTAAGTGTCCATGACCTCAGCACTTATCCCGTTGGGCCCATTCTCACTTGGTGCATATTTTCTAAAAAAGTTCTGAAAACATATTAATTATATATGTAACAATTCAATACAAATAAATTCTGTGCTTTGGAAGTGTCTAGTGTAAAGCTTTTAGTCAAAACAAGAGAGATGTTGAATGAACTAAAGAATCACAGGAGTACAAGAAATACACTACAATGGACAAAGAGCCTAGAAACAGTGCAGGAAAAAAAAGTATATCTAATGTGTAGTGTTCTTCAAGTTTCACATTATCAACTAGATTAATTCCTTTATATTGAAATATTAGAGGCAAACACACAGCCTATATTTCGAAGTGTAACTAATATACTATTTAAGTTTATTCTGTGTTTTCAAAATTTTGAACACCTTGTGTGTTTGACAAATAATCTATATTTAGATTAGAAACAAAGAACTCCTATAAATTGGTTAAGAAAAATACAAGAAAACCCAACAAGAACATGGGTAAAAGATATAAACAAGCACTTCACAGAAACAACAATTAGACTATCCATACATTCTTAATGCTTGAGCTTCCATTCACTGAAATGGAAATTAAAACTGCATTGAAATAGCAAGAGTTAGAAGTTTGACAATATCAAGATTAGGAAAAGAAGTATAGCAACAAGAAACACAAGGGGAGCAACTATTTTGGAAAACAATTTTAATTATCACATAAAGCTGAAGATAATAATACCCCATGACATAGCTAAACGATTTTACAGATTAGACACAGGGCAAAGAATGATTATTGTCTAGTTGTCTAATTATAGAACATAATTAATAATATTATTTAGCAGTGACTTCAATTAGAACCTGGGTAAGAGTTTTATATACATTTCATGACATCTTCAGAACAGCTTGAGGGTAGGCACTACTAATTATTACCCAAACTTTATGGATGTAAAAACTATGGCTTGAAAGGCATGTTAAGTGTTCCTAGGCCACTGAAAGGTTTCATTTGCTAGAAGGAGTCACAGATGCAACATTTTATTGTATCAAAACTAAGATATATTACAGTGGAAGGATACACAACAGAATCAGCATGGAAAATACATGCAGGGAAAGTCTGAATAAATTTATGCATACATCTCCTAGTTCACTGTCTCTCCTCTACGGAGACTCACTCAGCATGCTACCTCTTCCAGTATGGAGTAGAAAAAAGCTAGTAGTAATACAAGTTCAACTGTACAAAAGCACAATAAAAATCTATTACTGTAGCACTATTCTGAATAACTAAAATTAGAAAATAATCAGAATGTTCAGCAATTAATGGTTAAGTTATAGTGTTTCTACACATTGAAATATAATGCAACATAAGATCTAGCACATTTTTAATTTGTTCACAACTAATTCCTGGTCCCTTATGCATCATACACTGTTCCAGAAACCTCATTAGCAACTACCCATGTGTGAACATGTGAAAATTTTCAACAATATTTACTTCTGATGAAAGAAAAAAAGTGAAAAAGATGATGATAAAAGGCATCTTTCAATTTCACTTCCATGTACTCTTTACAAAGACTGACTTTTCTATAAGAAAATAAATTGTAAAAGTCTTTAAAATTGACACTGTACCTGAATGCTTCCTTCTGTATCAAGAACTTCAGCAACAGGAACTGACTGGATAAACTGCATGAAGCCTAACACAGAAATGTTTGTGCATCATTAAACAGTTATTGGTTAAGCAATAAAAACAAAAGTTCTCCTAAGAATGAATAACCTTAATCTTTAAATGGACACACTTCATATCTAAACAACTTTAAAAAGTCTATGAAGACTATGTTAAGTTTATATTGACATTTATATCATGGTAACTATAAGGAAACTTTATTTTTCAATTAGGCTACTTTATATTTCCTTAGCCTATTTTCTAGCTATTTACTACAGTAAAAACATACAAAGTAATGGAGTAAGCTTCTTAAACACAGCATCAAATGTTTTTTCCTTCTATAGTTTTATAACACTTGCCAATTAAAAATATCCCAAACTGAAAATCACACTACAGAATCTGAAACGGTGGAATACAATCACCTGAATCTAAAACTATATGTATGCCCACTGGCTTCTTTTGTCTACTCAATCTTCTCGTATTTCCAGGAAATTATATGAAGGGGACATATATCAAAAGAAGAGGAAGGAGACAGTAAGCAAGAAAATATGAATCAGAAAAAGGATTTTTTCTGGCAAATCTGAGAACAACACAAGCATAAAAGAAATGTATGAAAAACTTGAAGAAAACAATATTTCAGGATCACATACAATCATGACTTGGTTTTGGTAAGCCTTGCATTGTAACAAGTCACACGCAAATTAGGAGATTTCATATCACTTCAGAGTAAAAATGTTGCATTTTTACATTACAAACACAGAATAGTCTGCATTAATTAACAGGTATTTGTTTTCCTCATAAGCTGCACAAACTTTACCAAGTAAGCAAAAATAGGTGCTAGACCCTGCTTCCACAGATATTAAAGTCTACATGTTTTATTGGGATACATACTATGAATGTAAGGGGGGGGTCTTAAAGGGGGGTCTGAAAAGCACAGAGACCTTGGTTACACTAGGAACCAAAGGACATCTGACACTCAATATATTTTCACAGATAATAAAGTTAATAGTTAAAAACATGGAAGAAAGGATGAATCAGATAATTGCTAATCATGTGTTCTTTGTCCTAAGAGCAAAAGAAAGCTAGCAACCAAATTTATAAAAATATTAAAAAAACATATTTACTGTTTTGAAAAACACCATACTGGGAGCTAACACTGTGGCATAGTGGGTAAAGCCACTGCCTGCAGTACCAGCATCCCATATGGGTGCTAGCTTGAGACCTGGCTGCTCCACTTCCAGTCCAGCTCTCTGCTATGGCCTGGGAAAGCAGCAGAAGATGGCCCAAGTCCTTGGGCTTCTGCACCCATGTGGAAGACCCAAAAGAGGCTCCTGGCTTCGGACTGGCGCAGCCCCAGCCATTGCAGCCAATTGGAGATTGAATCAGCGGATAGAAGACCTACCTACCTCTCCCCCTCCCCTCATTTTCTCTCTATATAATACACCAATAATTAAAAAAAAAAACCATACTGGGGGAAGACATCTGGCCTAGCAGTTTCTTGGTAACATCCAGATTCCGAATCAGAGTGCTGGGTTCAACTGCAGCTCTACTCTTCATTCCAGCTTCCTGCTGCCATAGACTCTGGGAGGCAGCAGGTGAGGGCTTCAGTAATTGGGTCCCTACCTCTGACTAAGTTCTCCTGCCTCCTACTTCAACGTGGTCCAACATTGAGCATTTGGCGATTTAACCAACGGATGGAAGCTCTTTCTATTAAGTAAATAAATAACAAATAAAGTGTGTGTGTGTGTGTGTGTGTGTGTGTGTGTTTTTAGATCATTTGGGAGGAAAACTAGAACAGTAATTAAACCAACAAAAAGATTTTGGAGGGACCAGGAAAAGGCTGAAAACCTGAAATTTGTCTCTGCAAAGTAACTACAGATATGAAGCCAATTTAGGTAAGTTAGTCAACCTCACAAAGACTCAGATGCTAGATATATATTATATATACACACATACATAGATACTTCAAAAAAATGTGTGGGCAAAAGTAATGTAAATTTACATGTAATGTAAATTGAGGGGCCGGCACTGTGGCATAGCAGGTAAAGCTGCCGCCTGTAGTGCCGGCCTCCCATATGGGTGCCAGTTCAAGTTCCGGCTGCTCCACTTCCCATCCAGCTCTCTGCTGTGGCCTGGGAAGGCAGTAGAAGATGGCCCAAGTCCTTGGGCCCCTGCACCCACATGGGAGACTCGGAAGAAGCTCCTGGCTCCTGGCTCCTGGCTTTCGATTGCCTCAGCTCCGGCTGTTGCAGCCATTTGGGGAGTGAACCAGCGAATGGGAGACCTCTTTCTCTGTCTCTCTCTCTGCCTCTCCTTCTCTCTCTGCGTAACTGTGACTTTCAAGTAAAATAAATAAATATTTAAAAAAAAGAAATTGAGTTTATTTTGGTGCAAATTTTTTTTTGAAATTCATGTATTTTTCTTCATAGTACACATTTTCCAGGAAGTTTCTGAAAATCGCTAAAACAAAATTTAAAAAAAATAAATTGACATCATCATTTGCTGAACTGTGTTTATCAGCAGAGGAAAGTGGAAAAGATTTCTGTGTCACAATAATGCTCAAAAGAATGATTCAGAACATAATACCATGCAAGAACTGTAACTACTTTGAACCACTATGAACTGTAACCACTTTGAATGCCTAAAAGTACATCATAAAGGTGTTAATTTTTATTCCAAATATGGTGTTTTATGATATTAGGAGTAGGAAGGACAGAAGGAACGGTGGGCATACAAGAAGAAAGGGAAAGAAGAAGGAAGGGAGATGAAAGAACAGAAATGAGGGAGAGAGGTCAACCCAACCAGTTTTCAGTGCTACACATATGTTCAATCTCTAACATTCTTAAGAATTTTCAATTAAAAGGAAAAGTGCAATCAACGGGGTAAAAAAAATCATGATGTAAAATAAACTTACCATGTTTTGTGCTAGTGGCTAATACTTTATATGGTGTCAGTTTCAAATCCAAATTTTCTTTCCGTAATAGCTTTTGATCAAAAGGTAAAATGCATTAGGCAAATGTAAATATCACCAAGAAAAACTTTTATGCACAAATATTATATCAGTAATGTAATACAGATTAGGAGGTAAACTTAAATTAAACTAAACTGTTTAACTTTGGTCATAAAATAAACTTATTAAGCACAGACATGACAGCATGACAAATTTTTTAACTTTTCTAAATATCTATCAGCAGTATTCAATAAGGTTCTCCCTATGATTTATGCAGTCCTTCCTGGATATAGAATACTTTAGAAATCTAAATAAAGGGAATGAGGACAAAGATGTTCCATTAAAAGCCAAAGACAGAATAGGATTAAAAAAGCAAAGATTTAACAACTTACTAGAAATAACTAAATCTGACACTTAGAGAACTTAATTTTCAAAGAAATTTTTATGGAGCAAGTACAGTGTCACATTCATCACAAGAGTCATTGTAAAGTATTAAAAAATTAACTACATTTGTTTTAGATTAAGTGGAGATTGTGACAAGTACAATTTTCTCTGTAAATAGCACATGTACTAAACCATACATGTGCTGCATCCAATATAAGGCTATCTTTACCTTATCCATAAGTGAAATGATTTGAAGAATAAGTTGATCTTGGCGTAAATCATCTCCATGCTTAAATATAACTGGATATTTGCCTCCATCTTCTGTCTTAAAGAACAACTGTGCAGGCATCAGGGCACTCTGTAAAATAAAAATATTGTTTTCAAAACTGCATGTAAAATAATGCCTGAAGATTCACTACACACAGAAGGAAATGCTGAGAAATAAGTTAAACCACAAAATGGTAAACAAGACCTAAAGAAATAAGGTGTTTGCTGATATATTAGGGTACTTTGGAAAATAACGAACCAACAATCACTCTAAAGATTACATAGTGGTAAAATGCATAAGCTCTGAAATCAGTTATGCATATGAATCCAGACTCTGCCAGTAACCAGTGGGATGACCCTGTTCATAATCTTCTTTGTTTTCCTCATCTGTAAAACAAAGATAACACATTCTCTGCAGAGTTGCCAAGGCAATCAGACATCAGACATATCAAGGGCCTGGTGTCATGCCTGATGCAAAACAGATATTTTATATTTGTGTTCCATTATTATTGCTACAAATTGCGATATACTAAGTAAATAAGGTGATACCAGGAAGCATAAAAATGTATCAGATGAAACATGAAGAGGTCTGGCTTTAATGGGAATTTTATCAGTAGGCTTGTGGTTTCGATATTCAAATCCCTCATTTATAAAATGAAGGAAGACTCAAGTATTTATATATTTTTTATTTTGGAATAAAATAGAAAGATTCCCTAAAATCCTTTCCTTATTTACATGAAAATTTTATATCAGATTTTTTTAAGCATTTATTAACTTATCTGAAATGCAGAATGTGAAGGAGTGAAGAAGCAGTGTGAGAGAAACCTTTCATCTACTGGTTCACTCTCCAAATGCTGGTGACATTTGGGGATGGACCAGGCCAAAACCACGAGCTGGAAATTCCATCCAGGCTCCCACATGGGTGGCAGAGACTCAGGTACTTGAGCCATCATCTGGTTTCTCCCAAACTCATTAACAGAAAGCTGGGTCAGAAAGTGGAATTCTGTCCCTCTGGTTTGGGATAAGGGCATGCTATGCTGCAGCATCCTTAGCCTATACCACCAGATAAATGTTTAAATCCACAAAAAATAAAGAAACCAAATCCTCTTTAGAAAGGGAGAATCACACAGAATCACACATAAATTGTCATACTGACACCACTACTTTAGAGATAAGTGGTCTATGTGACAGAGGTAGGGAGGTAGGCAAGGAAGGAGAGAGGGAGGAAGGAAGAGAGAGATACAGAGAAAGAAAAGAGAGGGAAACAGACTGAGACACTATTGCTGTTGATAACTGAAAGGAAATTACATCAAATGTAATCAGAGGAACAGATACCACATTGAGGTATGCTGTTTTTATTTTTTTAAAGAAGGTTAATTGGAGTCTTATCCAACCATCTGAACTTATGAAGTGAATGTATAACAAAATCCTTACAATTTACCTTTTACAAATTATCTTGCACAGAGGCTCTGATTAACAATTTTCTTGAAAGAATTAAATACTTCTAAACCCCAGAGGTATAAAATATTTTACATACTTCATTAAATAAATGTAATGGCAACACAAAAACATCAAAATAATTGATAAATGAAAGACACCATTTTTTTGTATCTGGCATTTACTGAATCAGAATTAGAAATATACCCTGAGGGGCCAGCGTTCTGTCGAAGCAGACCTGCAATGCCAGCATCCCATATGGGCACTAGTTCAAATTCTGGCTACTTGGCTTCTGATCCAGCTCCTTGATAATGTGCCTGCAAAAGCAGTGAAAGGCAGCCCAAGTACCTGGGCTCCTGTCACCCACGTAAGAGACCCAGATGAAGCTCTTGGCTGCTGGCTTTGGCCTGGTCGAGGCAGGCTGGGAGTTACAGCCATTTGAGAAGTGAACCAGCAGATGAAGGATCTCTCTCTCTGTCTCTCCCTCTCTCTTTCAAATAAATACAGCTTAAAAAATAAATATATAAGAAAGAAATATTTCCTTAAAATAATCATTTTCAAAGACAGTGTCTGTGTTCTAGTCTTAAACTAGAATCCAATCATATACATTAAAGATCCATCAAAATTACCTTAAATAGTGTAGCTGTCTCAGGGATTATCCCTCTAATTTTCACCTGGGGTTCTAAAGGTAACGGGATAAGTTCCACATCTGACAAATTCATCTTTTCATTATCTCCAAGCAATGCCTGTAGTCTCTCATTCTAGGAGAACAAATCAGAAAGCATTAGTTAGGCTAGAATGGAAAAAAAGTCTTTAAAACGCACAGTAAACACATAAGACCTGATTCTATTAATTTGACAATATTTGCAAAGCATCATAAAAGTATATGAATACTAACATAAAGGAGAGAGTATGAAAATAAAGCAATCACTTATAAATAATTCAGTGATAGCAGCAACAGGCTTAAAAAAAAATCCCTTGACTAAGAAACCCAGACTTTCAAAAGAAGGACACAGAATACATTTCATTCATGGCAGCAGAGGAACAATCAGGAATATATTCAAGTTAAACTTAAAGATTCAGTTTCTGTTTCCCTAGGGTCTGTGAAGCCACAGAAAGAAACTGTAATTTCGTTTGAAGCTTAATTTTGCATGACCAAATATTAAGTGAGAATTTCTTTATGGTGTCCCAGTGCATTTTTGGGGTTTAAAAAGGGAAATTTAATTCACTTGGTGGAACTTGAACCCTATCATCTCTTTCACTAAGTCTGTTTGATCTAACTTTTCCTAAGATATCATCATTCATTTTCTTCAGCTCTTATACATATTACATGGAACCAAGTTAACAGTAACTGGAAAATTCAAATCATGGTGAAACATCTAAGTCATTTTCCAACATCTATGGTGTTTAGAAGAAGGTCTTCATTCAATTTCAAAGGAGCAATCTGTTTCTTGAGAAACCTGGAAAGTCTTGAATCTTTTTAACAGATGAGCTTGTTTGTTAGAAGGGAAAAACTTGACTTGTCAATCTCAGTGACATAAAGTGCTTCAATCATAACGTTAACAGAAAAATATATGCATCAAAAAACACAACTCTGGAATCAGTGACAAACAGAAGTTCAAAGTATAAAATTAATAAGTTCCTTCAAAAACATTCCAAGTCTCCTTCTGAATTATGAAAAATTCAAGCTAAAATCAACTGAAAACTAGCATGAATTGCTATATACTATCTTAAAAAAATCAATAAATCTAGTCCTTTAACTAAATGGATAGTCAGATATACTGATGTGAAATCATGTCAATCATTCAAGTTATTCTAACTTAACCAATTCCTAGTTGATATGCTGAGAAATTATAAAATAACCACCAAGTAGTTAATGAGAAAAGGGTGAGAAATCCAGCCACTTTCAACACCTTCTACCACTATATGCTCTAGGGTCTTAGTCACCATTACTTCTCATCTTGATTACTGCAGTAGCTGACTGAGGGATCTTACTTTCTTCAATCTTTGCCCCCTGTAGTCTCTATCAAAAGCATCTAGAGTGCTGCTGCTAAAATGCAGATCACACTGCTCTCGGCTCAGGCCATCCAATAGCTTCTGCAATGCTTCAAAGTGCTTAAAATGGCCTACAAGGACACATACCATTTACATAGGCACTTCAAAAAAATCATGGGGAATTACAAAATGTTATTTTTGTTCAAGAAATTTTGAAATTTATACATAGTTTTTAAGTAATATACATTTTTCATCAACTTTTTGAAGACCTCTCATATTTACCAATGATCTCTCTCCTCATCTCCTACTACTGTACCTCCATCCCTTAAGCACAAACACACACTGGGCTTCTTCCTATTTTTCAAACATTCCATACATAGCTCAGGGACTTTGCACTAGCAGTCCCTCTGGCTGAAATAATCTCTTCTAGAAAGGTAGTTTGCTCCCTTACCAGCTTAAGAACAAGTACTCAGAGTGGCCTTCACCAATCATGAAATTGAGAAGTGAACTGCCATACTACTTGATGTAAGCACTCTCTTTACCCATTGCTGCTTTGTTTTTCTCCATAGCAAGCAATGTTTTCCAGCACCCTCTGTATTTTACTCAAATATAATGTGTTCTCTTTTCTCCAACATCAATGTAAGCACCATAGGGAAGAGATTTTTATAGTCCCCCAGAGTCTAAAAAGGCGTTAAGTGCTCATTAGGCATGCCATACATATTTCTTGTTCATAGAATAAATGAGTAATATTCCTTTAAAAAAATCCCATAATGAAAAGAGATAACTCATAGCATTAAAAAGAAAATGTTTTAAAATTGTTTTAAAACGTTTATGGAAAAAGCATTTTTATTAGAACTCAAATACCTAGATTCAGAGACTTCTAAAATAATTTTTCTGAGAGCCAGTGATACAGCGTAGTGGGTCAGGCTGCCACCTATGACGCCAGCATCCCATATGGGTGCTGGTTTGAAACCTGGCTGCTCCCCTTACAACCCAGCCCCTTGCTTATGTGCCTGAGAAGGTGTGGAGGATGGCCCAGGTGCTTGGGTCCCTCTATCCATGTGGGAAATCTGGAAGCTCCTGGATTTTGATGGGCCCAGCCTTGGCCTTTGTGGCCTTTTAGGGAGTGAGCCAGTGGATGGAAGACCTCTCCCCCCCCACCCCCAATCTGTTCCTCTTTCTGTAACTCTGCCTTTCAAATAAATAAATAAATCTTTAAAAAAAAGAATTTTTCCTAAAATGAAGCCAACATTTGTTTCATTCAGTATTTAACTCAGGGATTAAACAGTTATGAATCTAAAAATTATTGTACCCACTATGATACATGTATATCTCTCCCAAATTAATTATGAAAGACTGAAAAGTGCTACATATGATTTTGAATTATTGGTACTCTGCTTGCAACCAGAGTGTTTCAGATTTCAGAATTTTTCAGATTCTAGAATATTTGCATATATGCATATAGAACAATTTTAGGGATGAAACCAAACTTTAAAAACAAAATTCATTTATGTTTTATACATACTTTATCTACATGTCCTATAGGCAATTTTATGCAATACTTTTATTCTCAAAGTTTGTGTACATTGAACCATCAGACTTGTGGCACTATGTCAGAGGTCCACAAATTTTGGATTTCACAACATTGCTGATTTTGGGTTTTCAGGTTAGGAATGCTTAATTTACTATAGTCATTTAGTATTTCTAGTAATAATGCAAGTAATGACAGCAGGGAGCCATTTTTGCATTTCTCTATGGTCCCAGAGTGCATTTCTCATGTATCTGTGTGTATAAAAGCAGAAGATGGCCCAAGTGCTTGGGCCCCTGCACCCATGTGGAAGACTCTGCTAAGAAACACCTGGCTCCTGGCTGCTGCCTTCAGATCAGCTCCGCTCCAGCCATTGCAGCCATTTAGGGAGTGATCCAGGGGATGGAAGATATTCTCTCTCTCTCTCTCCCTCTCTTGCTCTCTCTCTCCCTCTGTAACTTTGTGTTTCAAATAAATAAATCAACCTTTAAAAAAGTTAAAAAGACCATTTTAATCTATAACCTTTTCCTCCCTCTCTAATCTTGTGAACATTAGTCCTTGTAAATATCTCTACTGACATTTCTTCAGAACTGATCCCTTGCTTGATCCCTGAACTTGTGGCTTAATTCTTCTTTTCCTCTTCTAAGTTTCCTCTGACAAGTCTGGAGAACATGTGTTGTTTTACAAAGGTCACCAAGACAGACACCCTTCATATCACTTAAGCTACTCATCTTAAACAATGACACATGAAGAGCAGTAGTCATCTATACTACTCATCAAGAGGAAGCCTCACAGCTGAAGGAAAGATCAAGCGAAGAGATGCAAAGCCAGTGTTGTTACTGACAACCAGTTCCACAACCTTGTACAATTCACTTTGAAACTTTCTTTTATCTGAAAACATTTTTTTAAGATTTATTTATTTGAAACAAAGACACAATCCTCAAAGAATTAAAAACTATCTAAAAGTGAAGAAAATATTCAAATAGCACCACAATATGTAATTAGCCAAGAATAAAATTTGTCCTAAAACACTATGAAGTCTTACGTATTGATTCCCAATCCGTAAAATATTATATTTTCTAATTTAATCTCCCCTATTACCCTGGTAAGGGCAGCTGGACAAATGTTACATTCTTATTTCAAAGAATGGAAATGTAAGCTCAGAGAGACTGAAATGTCTTCACAGAGTAACACAGGCCATAAATTAGAGAATCCAAATTAGAAGAGGATTAAGGGCTTATTTGCCCATCAGTTTGATGTTAAGAAGCTCTGTGAACTATATAAAAGCTTAGTGCTAACGTGTTTAACAGGCTTTGATTTAAATTTTTAGAAGTTGAAAATGAAACATCAGATAAAAGCTGCTATGAACTAGTTCTGTAGCAAAGTCACAGAAATTCTTTTCACTGCCCTTGCACCATCTGCTGGCTGAAATGTGACACTGCTGAAAGAAAAACATCAGGGCCTCAACTGTTGAAGGAACAAAAACTCAAGTTATATTGAAAGTACCTATAGAGCCAGCGCCGCGGCTCACTAGGCTAATCCTCCGCCTTGCGGCGCCGGCACACTGGGTTCTAGTCCCGGTCGGGGCGCCGGATTCTGTCCCGGTTGCCCCTCTTCCAGGCCAGCTCTCTGCTGTGGCCAGGGAGTGCAGTGGAGGATGGCCCAAGTGCTTGGGCCCTGCACCCCATGGGAGACCAGGAGAAGTACCTGGCTCCTGCCATCGGATCAGCGCGGTGCACTGGCCGCGGCGGCCATTGGAGGGTGAACCAACGGTAAAGGAAGACCTTTCTCTCTGTCTCTCTCTCACTGTCCACTCTGCCTGTCCAAAAAAAAAAAAAAAAAAAAAAAAAAAAAAAAAAAATTAAAAAAAAAAAAAAAGAAAGTACCTATAAGGAGCTGGTGCTGTGGCATAGCAGGTTAAAGCCCTGGCCTGAAGCACTGGTCTCCCATATGGGCGCTGGTTCTAGTCACGGCTGCTCCACTTCTGATCCAGCTCTCTGCTATGGCCTGGGAAGGCAGTAGAAGATGGGCCAAGTCCTTGGGCCCCTGCACCCACGTGGGAGACCCAGAAGAAGCTCCTGGCTTCAGCTCTACAACCTTGTACAAGTCACTTTGAAACCTTTTTTATCTGAAAACATTTTTTTAAGATTTATTTATTTATTTGTTTGAAAGTCAAGGTTATACAGAGAAAGGAGGCAGAGAGAGGGAAGTCTTCCATCCACTAGTTCACTCCCCAAATGGTAGAAATGGCCAGAGCTGCGCCGATCCAAAGCCAGGAGCCAGGAGCTTCTTCCAGGTCTCTTATGTGGGTGCAGGGGCCCAAGGACCTGGGCCATCTTCCACTGCTTTCTAAGGTCATAGCAGAGAGCTGGATTGGAAGTGGAGCAGCCGGGACTTGAACCTGTGCATATATGGGATGCTGGCACTGCAGATGGCAGCTTTGCCCACTACATCACAGAACCTGCCCCATCTGAAAACTTTCTAAATGATTTCCAGAGGTCTGTTCCACATCAAATATATTATACTCTTATATACTAAAATTAAAATGAGAGCCAGCAAAGTACTCCAGATAAAATAAGGACTCATAATATTTGAGTACCAGGGCGAGATTTTTTAGGCAGCAGTTAAGGTGCCAATTGGGACACCCATATCACTTATCAAAATGTTTGTGTCCCAGCTCCATATCAGATTCCACCTTCCTTCTTATTAATAATTTGGGAGGTAGCAGGTGATAGCAAGTAGCTGGGTCCCTGCTACCCTATGTGGGAAACTTCGATTGAGTTCTAGGCCTGCATGGCCTTACCTGTTTCAGAAATGTAGGGAATTAACCAGCAGACAGAAGATCTCACTGTCTCATTCGCTCTACCTTTCAAATAAATTAAAAATAACAAAAAACGTAGGTACAAATCCCAACCCCGACACTTACTAGTTGTGTTAACACTGTACAAATTATTTAATCTCTCTATGCGTCCTTTCCTGACAACTGCAATAATAAAAGTACCTAATTTATGCAAGGTTGCTGTAAGGATTAAATATATCAGTACGTGTAAACTCACAAAGCAGCATTCTGTACATAATCAGCACTTTTAATAAGTGCTCCTAATAGTATAACATGGGCCGGCGCCGCGGCTCACTGAGCTAATCCTCCGCCTAGCGGCGCCGGCACACCGGGTTCTAGTCCCGGTCGGGGCGCCGGATTCTGTCCCGGTTGCCCCTCTTCCAGGCCAGCTCTCTGCTGTGGCCAGGGAGTGCAGTGGAGGATGGCCCAAGTGCTTGGGCCCTGCACCCCATGGGAGACCAGGAAAAGCACCTGGCTCCTGGCTCCTGCCATTGGATCAGCGCGGTGCGCCGGCCGCAGCGCGCCGGCCGCGGCGGCCATTGGAGGGTGAACCAACGGCAAAGGAAGACCTTTCTCTCTGTCTCTCTCTCTCACTGTCCACTCTGCCTGTCAAAAAATAATAATAATAATAAAAAAAAATAGTATAACATGGTAAGAGAAATTCATATATCAACCCAAAGAGGCAAAAGTCAAAACTCGCTATTTCATGATGCCAAACTACTGTAGATCATAAACAGAAAGCAAACCCCATAAGCTTACCTTTTTCTTACGATTTCCACTTTCACGCTGCACTGCTTTCATTAGATGCACCAACCGATCTACAAATGTCTGTTGAGCAGCCAGCAAAGAACGCATAACTCTGACAGATTTATCACCCTGAAGGGAATCAAAGTAATGGAAAATTAGTTGTATGTAATACAATGATCAAGATTCCTTTCATAGTGGGGGTGATCTTTATTAAGTCTTCTAATAGCTGTAAACTTCTAATACAAAGTGAAATTGAGAAAGATTAATTATTTTGACTCAAAATTATTGAGAAACTTGCTATCTTACCCACCACCAATCCACCCACAATAGAATTTTATTTGAGTTTCAGCAAATACTGGACAATTTTTTTTTTTTTTTTTTTTTTACAGGCAGAGTTAGACAGTGAGAGAGAGTGAGAGAGAGACAGAGTGAAAGGTCTTCCTTCCATTGGTTCATCCACCACCAAAGGCCGCTGCAGCCGTCGCCGATCTGAAGTCAGGAGCCAGGTGCTTCCTCCTGGTCTCCCATGGGGTGCAGGGCCCAAGCACTTGGGCCATCCTCCACTGCCTTCCCGGGCCACAGCAGAGAGCTGGACTGGAAGAGGAGCAACCAGGACAGAACTGGTGCCCCGACCAGGACTAGCACTCAGGGTGCCGGTGCCGCAGGCGGAGGATTAGCCAAGTGAGCCGCGGCTATCTTCAACAGCATTTTTTCCCCTCCATATAATCATGTGATGAGAAGGATTCTTTTTACTAAAATGCATTCATTCGCTGATTCAATAAACATCTGAAGACCTATGATGTCTCCAGAAATATGCTAGATATATAAAGTGGCAGAATCAGGGGCCAGCGTTGTACTGCAGTGGGTTAAGCAGCAGCCTTTGACAATGGCATCTATGTGAGCACTGATTCAGTATTGGCTGCTCCAATTCCAATTCAGCTCCTTGTTAAACCCAAGGGCTTGGGCCCTGGCCACCCATGCAGAAGACCAAGATGGAGTTCTAGGCTCCTGGCTTTGGTCTGGCCTAGTACTGACCACTGTAGCCATTTGAGGAGTAAACAAGCAGATGGGAGATCTCTCTCTGTGTCTCTGGCCTTTGTGGCCACCTGGGGGAGTGAACCAGCGGATGGAAAACCTCTCTCTCTGCCTCTCCTCTCTCTGTGTAACTCTTTCAAAAAATAAATAAATCTTAAAAAAAAAAAGTACCTATAAATAACCATTGCCAGATTTCTGAAGTCGTACTTAAAACTTGAAGAGAAAATAAAATGGGAAGTAAAAAACCAAATCTTCCTATTTTACTGTCCCATGTTTCTTTCATTAAATCAGAGCTAAATATACTTTTTATAAAGGGCCAAAGTAAGTATTTTAGGCATTGTTGGCCATACAGTTCTTTTTACACTATCCAACTGCTATCGTAGTACAAAAGCAGCTATAGACAATTTGAAAATGAGAATGTTCCAATAATTTAAGAAGACTGACATTTGATGTTCAGAATACTTTCCATACATCACAAAATATTATTCCAGTGATTGACTTTCAACTATTTAAAAATGTAAACGCCATTCTTAGCTCATGAGGTGCACCAAAACGGGCGGCAGCACAATTTGACTCATGCACAACAGCAAATCATTCCTCACATTAAACGGTTACCTTCAGCAATGCTTGGCTGAATCTTCTCATTACATTCAAATACATCTCATGGGTCTTTGGATCTCTCTGCTGAGTATCTTGATCTTCACATTCCACTATAACATACCTTTAAAATATGTTTAAGTCACACATGAAAAAAATTTGTTTTGTAAATAATTAAACATTTTCTTAAAACGGATTAATTTGTCATTTGCAAAAATAATTTAATGGAAATAATATAATACACTTAATCATAACTCTCTCAAAAGTGAAAAATTAGGGGATAGTGCTGTGGTGTAGTGGGGAAGCTGCCACTGAATGCCAGCATTCCATAAAGGTGCCAGTTCAAATTCAGGTTGCTCAACTTCCAATCCAGCTCCCTGATAATGCACCTGGGAAAGCAGCAGAAGAGGCCCAAGTCCTTGGGTCCCTGCCACCCAGCTGGGAGATGGAGAAGAATCCGCTGGCTCTTGGCTTTGCCCTGGCCCAGCCCTGGCTGTTGTGGCCATTTGGGGAGTGAACCAGCAGATGGAAGATATCTCTATCTATAAATCTGCCTTTCAAATAAAAATAAATAAATCTTTTTGTAAAAAAAGTGAAAAATTAAGGGCAGACATATACCATCATCAATAAAAGGTAAATGAACATTAGTAAGGCTTTAATTTGTGCAATACCCTAAATTTTCTAAAAGTTTTGCCATCAAAACAGGCATTTGCTCTTTGTACTTTATGAGGTACTTATAATCCCAAAAGTCAAGTAAGCTCAAAAGTCTAACTAAAGAATAAGAACTCTTACTTTATAGATATGTAATGAGAAAATTTAAATTGTTTTTCCTTTCTTATCCAATTCTCCCATTTATCAAAATTCCATATACAATCTTTAAATTTTCTATTATAAAATTGTTAGACAGTTAAATAAATCTAAAACTACTTATATAATTACAAAAATCATATAAGCAATACCTTATAAACATTATCAGTGTTTACTGCTCTGCTTTATTTCATTTTTTTAAACAAATTATCTTGTGAATCGTTTTTTTTAAGATTTTATTTATTTATTTGAGAGGTGAAGTTATAGACAGTGAGAGAGAGAGAAAGTGAGAAAGGAATTCCATCTGCTGGTTCACTCCCCAAATGTCTACAATGGCCGCAGCTGCACCAATCTGAGTCCAGGAGCCACATGCTTCTTTCCAGTCTCCCATGCGGGTACAGGGGCCCAGGAATTTGAACCATCTTCTACTGCTTTCCCAGGCTACAGCAGAGAGCTGGATTGGAAGAGGAGCAGCCAGGACCAGAATCGGCCCCCATAAGGGATGCCGGTGCTATACGTGGAGGATTAACCTACAGCACCAACCCCATCATGTAAATCTTTAAACTGCTTACAAAGGATCATAAAAAAAAAAAAAAAAATTTTGCTTGCTTTATTAATAACAAAACTCAGGTTGTGTGGGCTTAGTATCTCAATACTGATAATTCTTAATTATGAATATAAATAAATATGTTTGTATATGTTTAGATATGTATGTATATGTTTAGATATGTATGTATGTATATATATATATATCCCTTTTTTTAATATCTAACTTCTAATTTTGAATTTCATTGTATGGCTGGTTTTTACATTCATCCATTACAGTTTCAAGCTCCAGAACCTCTATTCAAGATACTGTCATTTTTTTTTTTTTAAGATTTATTTTGTTTACTTGAAAGGCAGAGTTCCAGAAAGAGAAGAGACAGAGAAAGAGATCTTCTATCTGCTGATTCACTTCCCAAATGGCCACAGCAGCCAGGGCTGGGGCAGGCTGAAGCCAGGATCCCTGAGGCTCTTCCAGGTCTCCCACATGGGTGCAGGGGTCCAAGCACTTAGACCATCTTCTACCACTTTCCCAGACACTTCAGCAGGGAGCTGTATTGGAAGTGGAGCAGCTAGGACTCGAACCAGCACCCATATGGGATGCTGGCATCGCAGGTGGAGACTTAACCTACTATGTCACAATGCTGGCCCTGTTTGTCATTTCTAATTAAACATGTGTAATACTGAACTTATCATGCTAACTGGGATTTTTTTCTACCTCTGCTGAAGGTATCAATATCCCATACATTGAGGCTGAAAATATAAAATGCAATCACTTTACTATAAAAAAAAATGTGTAATACTGAACTTATCATGCTAACTGGGATTTTTTTCTACCTCTGCTGAAGGTATCAATATCCCATACATTGAGGCTGAAAATATAAAATGCAATCACTTTACTATAAAAAACAAAGAGGCAGGGCTGCAGCCAAACCAGAAAATACAAAGCCTATCTAAAACCTGTGTTGATGCTTGGTGATCCATGCAGCTACAGCCAAACTTAGCTCACACTCCCCTGCCTCAAACACGTATATTCAATTAGTCACTAGACCTTTTGGATTTCCCAATGCTTTTTACAATAGTTCTGTACTTATCTGGCTCTATCTGGAATCAAAAGGCAGATTCTACTTCCTTGGCCTCTCCAACTCTAAAAAGAAACTAATTTTTGCTCAATTCTATCAACATAAATGTTTTCTTCTTCAAAATACATTCATAATGTTCTATATTAACAAAAACATCAATGGTTCCCTGTTTTCTATTATTTTAAAATAATTTCTGTGGCCCCTACTTCTGTTTGAAATTTCCACTATCCTCAATTTATGCACTCACTTCAGTCAGGTCAATTTCCTAATATTCTTCAGAAGCCCTCTGCTTTTGCTCATGTTGCAGTATTGGCTACAAGTACTCTCATCCTTCCATAGTCTCCTGATTCTTCAAGTACAGCTGACTGTCTGTCTGTCTCTCAAGGAAGTCTGTATGGACTCTAACAACTTCTTTCTTCCACAACTTCCTAGAAGAGACAACCTCTCACACAACTCATGCAGTTAATGTTTCCCTGTTTGCCACTGTTTCATAGGCTTAACTCTTGGCATCCTTCATAGGTTATAAAGGAACTAATGCCAGGCACTATTTCTTGAGCACTATCAGTAACCTCACATATCCAATATCGTATGATGCAAAAAGCATTCCAAAGGTTGATGGGTGATAAAAGGGGTTGGAAGCCTTTGCTTCCCTACTTCCCAGTGCCATGCTGAACCATGGTAAGTAGTCTTCCAACAGCTCCCAAACTTGTATAACCCAGAATTTTCCATAAAGTCATAGAACAAGAGCTCTAAACCAAAATTTCAAGAAGGCATTCCTGCATCTTGAGTCAAGAATGCCTTCTAGGACTTCCAAAGCCACTACTAGATATATGACTATTTAAATTAATTAATTAAAATGAAATAAAATTTAAAATTTAGTTACTCTATCACATCACCCACATTTCGAGTGCTCAGAGTCACCTGGACAGTACTGAAGATCATTTCCATGGTTTCAGAAGGGTCTATTGGACAGCACTGTTCTAGGGTAGTGAGTTGTTTAGAAATAAATTCTGATTTCCTATTCATGGAATTCTAGTTTTAGGGATAATTTTAGGAGAACATGTAAGAATGTCAAAAAGACAGTGGTTCTAAGCTATAAAGCTGGCAATAAGGTCTTACTCAAATCCAATCTATAATTTTCTTCCCTTCAGTTAAAGTCCTTGATTAACTGTTACCTTAGTATACAGCCAGTTTATTTGCTTGTGTATTTATGCAGGAAACTCATTTACAAATAAACATAAAGGGAGCCGGCACTGTAGCATCCTGGGTTAAGCCATCATCTGTGACACCAGCATCCCATACTGGAGATATGGCTTATGTCCCAGCTGCTCCACTTCCAATCCAGCTTCTTGTTAATATTCCTAGAAAGCGGCAGAAGATACCCACGTATTTAGGTCCCTGCCACCCGCATGAGAGACCCAGATAAGGGTTTCAGGCTCCTGGCTTCAGCCTGCCACAGCCTCAGCCACTGCAGCCATTTGAAGTGAACCAGCAGAAGACTTATCTCTTCCTCTTCCACTTTCTCTGTCATTATGCCTTTCAAATAAATTTAAAAAACAAGAAACAAACAGGTGGATGACTACAATATGCAGGTCTCTATGCAGAGCTAAGGTTTTCATGACCACCAAGTAAACACTGTGTCTATTGTTATTTCCTGGGATTGAAGGTATATGTTGATGCTCATAAGGGTCAAGTATCAACCACCTTCCAACACCACTCAGGTCAAAGTTCTACTGCAAAGAAACAGTCCACCTAAAATAAAAATGGCAGGGTCACTTCCCAAAATGAAAGACAAGGTTAGATCAAGACCAAAAGGCCTGGATTTCAGTTATTTCTGTGTTCTCTGTTCATACCAATAAACTAGATTCTATAAAGCACTCTAAGGTATAATCTTAAAGGTTGTCACCTCAGAGTAGAAATGCAGACAAAATTGTCTAGGCACTCATTGTAAGATGACATCAGTGGGCTACTGTTTCCTGGCAATTTTATTTTGCGGAGTAAATAACCTTTATTACCTTGAAAGGTCTTAAAAGTTATAGAAAACATGTCAAAGCATCCAAAGTTTACTTTCAATTTCAACACACTGGAATGGCTATAAAAATAAAAAAAAAAACTGGAACGATTTATGGATTCTGATGCCCAACATTTTATAGATTGGAGACTATAACTCCCTTCTGTGGTTTAAAAGGTTGACACTATTCATTTTAAAAGGATTGTCTGCACAACTACAGGCCCCTAAGGATTTAGCTACAGCAGAAATTCTGTTTAAATCACTGGAAAGGGAACAAATGGAAAAGGAAATTCAAAATGTTCAACAAGAAATAACACAATCAATTAATTTACATTTTAATACATTTCTTATAACAAAGTAAGCTCAGATCAAGATTCATTTACATTAATACATTTAATATTTTTATACTATTCTATCCACACTGAAAAAGAGAATGATCATTTTAAACCAACTATTTAAAATTATTTCCCATATTACTATCCTACATTAACAAAAGCAAAATCTACCAAAGTCAGGAGTCCACATCAATAGCTTTTCTCCCCAGGAGTATTTCTGAATACATAATATATAGGTTATAAATATGGGAAAAACAATTACCCCTTAGAGAATGAATAGATATAACACATGTGATTGCTTCAATGAATCAGAGATACAGAAGGAAAACACAAATCAAATCTAAATTTGATGGAATGTTTATAAGACTAGGAACTAGGGCTGCATTTCGCTTATTATATTTAGAGAAAACAAGTATACTTTCTGAACAGAAACAGTTGCCTTGTTGGAAACTGTACATCAAATAGGTTTTCTCTTGTTCAACTGCTTTCAGAATAACTTCAAAACTCTTCCTACTTGAAATAAGAGATCCAAGATTCTATCAAAACAAATTACAGATTTTACAATGAAATCTTGTCTACATCAAATGCAGAGAATACATAATTTCAAAACACCAAATCATCATTGTATACACATACCATTCTTACTAAACTGAATACAAAAACCTAAAATTAGAGCCAGGGAAAACTTTTTATGATTATTTCAAGGAAACAAAATAACTATAAAGGAATTTTTAGTGAACTATTCAAATATATAAAATTTTAATTTTAAAATAGCCAAGAAGCTTAAAAGTAGTTACTCAAAAGCTTGGCAATGTGTCCCACACATTTTTTTCCTTTATTTTCTTTTGAATATTTACTTGGATTTTCCTGAGAATATTTTTCCACAATATCCATGAATAGATATACACTTAAGAATTTATATTGGAATAAAAAAACCTTTAGGAAGCAAGATGTTATATTAAAAGGAAACAGTAACAAATTTGCAACATGGTATTTTTTAAAGTAAAATTATCAAAGGAAAATTAGTGATTAGTCAAAATATTCTGTGGGTGTATTTTCAAGAATACATTGAAATTTATTGTGAAATAAATATAGCTTTATGAATATCAAACTGCTAACAGAAGCAGGTAACTATTTTTCTTCACAATACTAAAGCCAATAGGGTGGGTGGGGCAACGACCAAAGAGTGGTTAAATGACTGATTTAGTTAAGACTGTTAATAGTGGTTTTCACTTGGTATAAATACGACCATAGAGGCTTAAACTAAACAAACACTATTAATACAAAGAATGAGCAACTGTGTTACAAGAGTGTTCAGATTAGTTACCTACTTCTTGAGAGAGGAAATATCCAGAATAACATTACCTTTGGAAAGTAGGAAATGAAGTTAAAGCTTAATTTGACTCACAGGACAGTTTCTCCAAATCAATAACATAGACTTTTGCTTAATTTCCTCATCTTAGGCAAAATGTCACCTTACTTTTTAAAAAACTGAGCTTCAGTATGGATATCTATTAATTTGCACCTATTAGTTCAGAGAACATCTCTACAGCTGAAAAATCTCAACTATTCAAGAAATGTGTAAGGTGATATTTAGTTTTAAGTATTTTTCCAAAAGTAAAGAAGGCTTCTGGGAGTACCTATCCAGCTGGCTCTGCACTTTGTCACTCTATAATACTGCATAAGAATCACTGATCTAGTATTTCATCCAAGTGCTATTCTTTACTGAACCAAAATATTTCTCACTGGGCCGTAAGCTACTTGTCTTTTGCCCTTTAGAATTCTGTGACAGATAAAGGCACCCATGCTTCACATTAACTACTTCTCAGGATGTCAGTTAGCCTCCCTGTGCTTTGGTTTCTTTCTTTCAACTCAATAAGGACACTGTTCTCATGTGAAACAGATATTTATATTTGTCCCATTTAACTTCAGAGAGATAAATAAGAAAGGGTCACTGCAGGTATTCTACAAATGGCAAAGTGGTAGGTAAATGATCTAATTCCCATCAGGTTCTACCAAGTTCACTTACAGTGTGGCTGCCTCATCTTTAAAATGAGATGAGGTAACTGAATTCCAACTTTCTATCTTCACATGATTCCATTTTAGCAAATAATGTGAAATATATTCTCCTGAAGGACTGTGCAGTATGCATACTACTTTAATAGCATAAAATCAAACAGACACAAAATTGAAAGACTTCATTACTCTACCCAGTTAAATTTTAGCTCCTGGAAAGTTAGGAAAGAGAAGAGAAACAGTGGTGGTAACAAGCATTTCCATGAATACAACTGTTAAGCAAAGCAGATAGACACACGCTATGTAGATTTCTGATGACTGCTTGTATCTTATTTTAAATTGATATTTACAGGACTAAAGAGTCTTAAGAGCAGTAAGAAAGTAAGCAGAAAATTATTTTCACATACCAGTATAAATAATTAGCCAGTGTTGAGTTCTTGCAGGCTCTTGAAATCAAGAAGGTGCACAGATCTTGCTGAAAGAAATAAAAGAAAGGTATATACATATAAATTAATATATGCTGCTGTTTAATATTAACGGGATAGGTGAGTAAATAATATATGTTTGCCTATTAGCTTTCACCTGTACATTTTATATGACAATGCAAATTTTCATCTATCTACCTATCCCTCCCTCCATTCATCCAAAATTTATTCTAAACCAGGCATTATGTAAAAATTTAGAACAACACAGTTTATAGCTTCTTGTCTTCCTAGATCTTAATTTAGTAAAAGACAATAGTTAGAGAAATCATAGATTGGCGTGTCAAGGCAGCAATGGGGACATGACATTTATGCAAGTCTAAAATGAAACTGTACAAAGGCTCTGGGCTTGGCTTACAAAAATGATTTTAAAAGTGCTCAATGTAGCTAACATATAGTGAACATTAAAGTAAGAGACTAAAAAGACAGGTGAAGGTAATTTTGCAAAACCTTTCAGATCATATTAAGTATGGATTTTATTTTAAAAGTAACACATACCCAATGAAAGATCTTTGAAAGGAGAGTGAGAAGATGTGATTTCATTTTATGAAAATGAGTTGAGCCGCTTTGAGAAGTGCAGACCTGAGATCAGTTAACATGCTATTACAAGTATCTCAAAGAGTGAACAGTGAAAGCAGAGATGGAGAAAAGACACTAAAAATTTTTTTTGCAAATATAATTAACAGGACCTGCTGATGAAGAGGAAGTACAGGGGGACAGAAATGAATTGACAGTAACTATAAAATTTCCAGATTCAGGAAATGCATTGATTTGTTATGTCACAGATGAAAACTGAAGAGGAGGAGCTGGACAAGGGGTAATGTGAGATGTGAGAGAACTACATTTTGAAATATGAACTCTGAAACAAACACCTGTCAGATAAACAATGGAAGTCTGTATATATACAGAAAACACATGTTTCATTTTGACACTCTACTTTTTTCCTCATAAAATTATTTACAGAACATAAATAGGAGAGAATTATGTTTTAAAATTATGAGATAATAAATATATACTATAACACTCAGTTTGAATAAACCATACTTTCAAATTTTTAAACAATTTAAAAAATGTGTTTCAGGCAAAATGAAAACGGTTTTTATATGACAAGTGAGAGAAAAAAGAATAGTGGTGAGGGGCTGGTGCTATGGTGCAGCGGGTAAAGCTGCTGCCTGTGATGCCGACATCCCATATGGCTGCCGGTTCTAGTACCGGCTGCTCCACTTCCGAACCAGCTCTTTGCTATGGTCTGGAAAAGCAGTGGAAGATGGCCCAGGTCCTTGCACATGCACCCATGTGGGAGACCCAGAAGAAGCTCCTGGCTTCAGATCAGCACAGCTCCTACCATTGTGGCCATCTATAGGTGAACCAGTGGATGAAGTCCTTTCTCTCTTTCTCTCTATGCCTCTCTGTAACTCTGCCTTCAAATAAAAAAATCTTAAAAAAAAAAAAAAAAAAAGTAAGCCAGTGAACACTAATCAAGACAAAATTCTATTAAATCAGACTAAACAGACTTTGAGGCAAAAAGTAGTATTATACATAAGGAGGATAACTAAATAGTAATAAAAGATTCAATTTAGGGGCTGGCACTAAGGTGCAGCAGGTTAAACTGCTGCCTGTGGAGCCAGCATCCCATACGGGCATCAGTTCAAGTCCTGGACACTCCACATCCAATCCAATTCAATCTGAAAAGCAGAGGAAAATGAGCCAAGAGCTTGGCCCTGCACCAAGGGCCTGCACCAAGATGGGAGACCCAGATGAGGTTTCTACCTGGCCCAGCCCTGGCTGTTGCGGTCCTTTGGTGAGTGAACCATTGGATAGACTCTCTCTCTCTGTCTCTTCCTCACTCTCTGTAACTCACCTTTCAAATTAAATAAATAAATCTTAAAAAAAAAAAAGAAGATTCGATTTACTTGAAAGTGCACTTAACAGAAGAGCTTCAAAATATTTAAAGCAAACATCAACAGAAACACGTGGAGGAATTGTTAATTCTGCCATCATACATAGGAATTCATCCTAGTTCTTTCTTAGATCAAATTAGCAACAAAAACTCACAACTGGAAGGGTCAAAAGACTTCCATAACACAATTAATAGTCTTGTTCCATTTTATTTATTTATTTATTTTTATTTGACAGGTAGAGTTATAGACAGTGAGAGAAACAGAGAGAAAGGTCTTCTTTCCGTTGGTTCACCCCCCAAATGGCCACTACGGCTGGAGCTACGCCGATCCGAAGCCAGGAGCCAGGTGCTTCTTCCTGGTCTCCCCTGCAGGTGCAGGAGCCCAAACACTTGGGCCATCCTCCACTGCCCTCCTGGGCCACAGCAGAGAGCTGGACTGGAAGAGGAGCAGCCGGGACTAGAACCCGGTGCCCATATGGGATGCCGGCACTGCAGGATTAACCAAGTGAGCCCCAGCCCTAGCCCCGATAGTCTTGTTCTAGAGCTATATACCATGTTGTGTCTACAAGTTGTTGAAAATACCTTTTTTTCAAAAACCTATGGAATTTATGAAATATGACAATTTTTGGACAATAAGATTTGAGTTTCCCCCTTCTTTCTCATATTGGGGTAGACACATATGATAAGAGTCTCCTAAAACACATAGAAATGAAAGACATACGATGTGGTTCAGTTGTCTGGGAGAAGACAAGAATGATGGTATCTCATGTTGTGACAAAAAGAGACTTCAGCTTAGTCACATATCAACTTAAGGTGCTGTTTATACTACATTATTACTGCACTGGGGTTATGGGAAGACAGAGGAAAACATCACTCAAATTGATCCTCTCTCCTTTCTGAGATAGCTTAGATTATCTGAACCCTTTAAGAAACTATTCAGTTGAGAAAACATAAGAGTTAATGATGGAGTAATAGCAGACGGGTTCATCAGTCATAAGAGAAATATCAAAACTACATAAAACTATTTTTACTTCTAACCAAAAAGTTTGAACCATAGGTGGTATGTAAAATAATACTCTGAACTTAACTTGGAAAATCCAATCCTCATCAGCACTCCCCAGTGTAAACCACCACAGTTCAAGCCACCAACATGTCTCACCAACATGTCTCAAACTTTTTAAGTAAAATTCACTTGATTTAATGGCCAAAAACCACGACATAACTGTTATATATACCCAACCTTCTGGCACTGCTCCCCTTTGCTAACTCTACAACCAGGAACCCTATTCTCTAATTTTAAGGAGTCATTGTGTACTAACTTCCCATGTAGGACCTCTGTTCTCAAAAGAGCTACAGTATTAACATTAATGGTAAAACTAGATCCCAAAGAGTTACTTTGTTCTATTGTGTGATATTATGCATCATCAGTTCTAGTTATGTCTAAGTGTCAAGCTCCATTACCTGTGTCCCTAGGTATTTCTTTAAAGCTTATTAAGTGCCTCAAATATAAAATCTTGGATACATGTCTCTCTGTGAAATTCCTATCTCGTATGATTTAAAATAGGGTCAAATATTTAAAGGCAACTGAGATTTTTGGAAATGGCAAAATTCTGTGGAATTTAGATTCCAAGGTTTGGATTCCAAGCTTTTGTATATAGCTTTAAAGAGGCCCTGATACAGACTCTGTACTGAAAAGGGTAGCTGCAAAAGTTGTTCCAGAGAACTAAGGAGCTTCTAACTAAAAGCTCCAATATTGGGAATTACTGATGACAGGATTCTATGGAATTTGGATTCCAAGATTCAGATTCCAAGCTTTTCTATGTAGCTTTAAAGAGGCCCTGATGCAGACTTTGTACTGAAAAGGGTAGCTACAAAAGTTGTTATGGATTCCAGGATTTGGATTCTAAGTCTTGTGTTTGCTTAAAAGCCTCTGAAATAGACACTGTGCTGGACAGGGGAGCTACAAGGAATCAAGGAGTTTTTAACAAAAACTCCAACATTAGGAATTCCTAAAAATCCATTCATAAGAAGATCCTCTTCAGATCAGTTTCAGCTTAAATAAAAGGGATCTTACCAGGTGCTACTGAGCGCAACTACCACAGTGAAATTCGGATTCAACTTCTACCTCTTAAGTTTTCACAGGTGAATGTGAAAGACATACATGACTATTCTTGTAAAACAATCAGAAACCTTAAGTACGTCTTCCAAACAAAAAGGATAAGTAAAGCATTTTGCCTTTGTCTCCTTAAGGCAAACATGCTGTACCTGCCTTTCTTGATTGTCTCTGGGAACTGTTATTGATGATAAAGCTACCAATGAGTTCTTCTATTTTAATTCTCTATACTCAAGCTAAATGGGTTTATAATCTACATAAGGGTAGCCTATCACTACCCACTATCTGGGAATGTGGAAGATATTTTCTTTTCATCTAAAGAGGCACCCCACTTATAATTGGTTTTGTTCCAGTATTGCTTATGCTAATTAACAAACTTTTATGTTTCAGAACTCAACTTCTGGGAGTAACTGATCACGCAGGGGACATAGATGTTGGCAATGACTGAGACTGCTCAAGCTCACAAAATAAATTTGTTGGATAGGATGGACAGAGACTTCCATACCCTGGATAGGCAGGGCCTGCACTATGCCCCTCATAAGCAGGAAGAAGTTACAGAAGAGATGACTCTACATCCATCAACTTCCCTTAGGATTAAGGGTTGGAGTCTCTGAGTGGGGAATGAAGTAGGTAGGCATACAGGTTAAAATTGATTAGGGTTGTGAGCTGGAAGACCATGCCTGCACCACGCCCCTGTGTGACCTCATGCCCCTAACTGGCCACACCCGGGTGTCCACTGGCCAATCAGGTTAATTAACCACTCCCCTTTGAAAGTGGATTAAAAGCCCGGAACAGGGTATGTCTGGCCCTTTTCCTCCATTTCCCTTGCCTTGGCCTCTTGCCAGTAGGGGGCTGGCTGTAGCCCTGCGCCTCCAGGCCACATGGCCTTTGGGCCACTGCCCTTTGCTTTCGGGCCTAGATGCTCTTCCACGTGGCTGGTTCCTGGTACTCAGTATGAACCCAGATTTACCCCTCTCTCTTAGATAAAGCCCTCACTCTCCTATGCATCTTTCACACTAACAAAAAGCTTAAAATGTACCATGCTGCCTCGTTCATTAATGCCAGTATTTAGAATTCTTCTCTAAATATTAGGCAAGAACCCACAAGGGCTTATTAATATTGGAGATTTATTAATAAGCATATGGTGATACCATATGGCACCCCAAATTCTGATAACACATGTGGCACACCAGATGGGATTTCTGGGGAACTTTAAGAGGCCACATTCCGAAATAAATTTAAGGGGTCAAATTCTGGTATCACTTTTTTTCATGATAAAAGCAAAGTGCACATAGAAGGAACATACTTCAACACAATCAGGGCAATATATGACAATTCCAAAACTGGCATCTTACTGACTGGGGAAAAGTAATTCCATTAAGACTCAGAATCAGAAAAGGATGCCTACCCTAACCATTAGTATTAAATACAATTCTGGAAGTTTTAGCAAGAGCCATTAAATAAGAAAAATATATCAAAGGGGTATAAATTGAAAGGAGGAAGTCAAATTATCCCTGTACGCAGATGATATGATCCTATACATGGGGGAACCAAAAGACTGCATAAAGAGATAATTGGGGCTGGCGCTGCGGCTCAATAGGCTAATCCTCCACCTGTGGCGCTGCCACACTGGCATCTAGTCCCCGTCAGGGCGCCGGATTCTGTCCCGGTTGCTCCTCTTCCAGTCTAGCTCTCTGCTGTGGCCCGTGAGTGCAGTGGATGGATGGCCCAAATGCTTGGGACCTGCACCCACATAGGAGACCAGGAGAGGCACCTGGCTCCTGGCTTCAGATCACCGCGGTACGCCAGCCGCAGCGGCCATTGGGGAGTGAACCAACGGAAAAGGAAGACCTTTCTCTGTCTGTCTCTCACTGTCCACTCTGCCTGTCAAAGAAAAAAAAAAAGAAAAGAAAAAAACCAACACACAATACACAAACAATGCAATGACTGAGAAAGAATCTGTAAAATGAATCGCTTTCACAGTAGCTACAAAAAAATTTAAATATTTTGGGTAAATTTAACGAAGAATGTGAAAGATTTCTACAATGAAAATTACAAAACATTGAGAAAAGAAATAGAAGACATAAAAAATGGAAAAATATTTGATGCCCATGGATTAGAATTATTATTAAATGTACATACTACCCAAAGCAATTTATATTCAATGCAATTCCAATCAAAATAACAAAGATCCCAGTGGAAAGAATGGGCCATCAAAGAAGGAGGTACCTTTCTCTGAAGGGAGGAGAGAACCTCCACTTTGACCATGACCTTGTCTAAATATGATCAGAGTCAGTAAACTCAGGGGGCTTCCATAGCCTTGGCAGCTCATGACAAGAGCCTAGGGTGATTACTGAGGCCATAAACAAGAGTGTCAATTGGTTAAGTCAACAACAGGAGTCACTGTGCACTTACTCCTCATGTAGGATCTTTGTCCTTAGTGTGCTGTACATTGAGATTTAATGCTATAACTAGTACTCAAACAGTATTTTTCACTTTATGTTTCTGTGTGGGAGCAAACTGTTGAAATCTTTACTTAATGTATGCTAAACTGATCTTCTGTATATAGAGAATCGAAAATGAATCTTGATGTGAATGGGAGAGGGAATGGGAAAGAGGAGGGTTGCGGGTGGGAGGGATGTTATGGGGGGGAAGCCATTGTAATCTATAAGCTGTACTTTGGAAATTTATATTCATTAAATAAAAGTAAAAAAAAAGGAAAAAAATGAGTCTACTTATCTGTATGAGTTAAAAACAGCTGTATTAACTCTAGTATCAACGGCATACATTTCTACAATGTAATCACAAAGACTGGTAATTGCAGTAACATTAGTAAATATGTTATCAATAAATATTCTGGCCGGTGCTGCAGCTCACTAGGCTAATCCTCCACCTGCGGCGCCAGCACCCTGGGTTCTAGTCCCGGTTGGGGCGCAAGATTCTGTCCCAGTTGCTCCTCTTCCAGTCCAGCTCTCTGCTGTGGCCCGGGAAGGCAGTGGAGGATGGCCCAAGTCCTTGGGCCCTGCATCCACATGAGGAGACCAGGAGGAATTTCCTGGCTCCTGGCTTCAGATCAGCACAGCGCGCCAGCCGTAGTGGTCATTTGGGGGGTGACCCAACGGAAGGAATACCTTTCTCTCTGTCTCTCTCTCACTCACTGTCTAACTCTGCCTGTCAAAAAAAAAAAAAAAAAAAAAAAAAATCTGTTCTGTAATACACAAAACAAAAAATAAATAAATATTCTGAGTTTCTCCAATAAAATATGTAAGTTTAGTTATTTCAGTGTGTATGAAACCATTTATATGCCCAAAGCACCAATAAAATGACTTGAATTAAGGATACTCTGGGACTTCAAACTGAGAGGAAAAAGTCGTACACATGCATCATAAAACAAGTTATTTAATAAAGTTGTAATGTTTAGTTTATTAATCAAAGTCAAGGTTTTAAAAACTAACAAAAAATGCTTATCTGTTGGCATCTCTCCTATAGGAAGCCTGTAAAGCATTGCACTTACCTCCAGATTTTCACCATCTGAGACTTCTTTCGTTTTAGATGCAGCAGGAGGGGAGGACACAGAAGGAATAGAGCTGGTTATAATTTGGGAGCTGAAAAGGTAACAGGAAAGATCATAAGTGGTAAAAATACTCTGTCAATGAGAAAAGACATACTTTTTTATTTTTTAGCAAGTTAACCTTAATTGTGTCTGGTCAATGCATCAACTTCTTAAAGTGTGTTCTGCCTAACACGTGAGTCACATGCTGTTCTGGTAAAAGACCAGACACGATCAAAGATTATGGGCAACAACCTCTTAGAGATTTATGTGCAAGTCTGCATGTTAGTGCAGGATTTCATCAGTAATATGATTTGAAAACAAAAACAAAAAAAAACACATTTAACACTAAACCGGCATTTTCAAAACATCTGGTCGTAAGATAATGTTCCCTTTTTCATCTTTTTAAAAAATCACCAGGTGGGAGGGAGGCATCTGGTCTGGGGGGTAAGACATCCACATCCCATAACCAATTGCTTGGGTTCAAGGCCCAGCTCTGGCTCCAGACTACATCTTCCTACTATACAGACAATGTGAGGCATCAATGATGACCCAAATAATTGGGTTCCTGCTACCTAGGCAGAAGATCTTGATTAAATTCCTTGTTCCTTGATTCAGCCTTGACCTAGAATCTACCAAGCCTGACCATTATAGCCATCTGGGTAATAGCAGATAGGGGCTCCTTCTCTGCCTCTCAAACATTATTTAAAAAATTAAAATGAGGGGCCAGCACTGTGGCTCACTTGGTTAATTCTCCACCTGCGGCGCTGGCATCCCATATGGGCACCGGGGTCTAGTCCCAGTTGCTCCTCTTCCAGTCCAGCTCTCTGCTGTGGCCTGGGAAGGCAGTGGAGGATGGCCCAAGTGCTTGGGCCCCTGCACCTGAATGGGAGACCAGGAGGAAGCACCTAACTCCTGGCTTTGGATCAGTGTAGTTCCAGCCATGGCGGCTGTTTGGGGGGTGATCCAATGGAGGGAAGACCTTTCTCTCTGTCTCTCTCAATGTCTAACTCTATCTGTCAAATAAAAAAAAATGAAAATGAAAACTAAAAATCATCCAGAACAAGTGATCAGCAGACCGTAACTTGGAAATATAATTACTGGCTTACTGCTTTACCATAACATAAAACTGGAATATTTTTATTAATAAAACAGTTTATGTGTCTTAAGTAAAAAGAAGATTATTACATATGATTTTAAATTAAAGGCCTCCAATACACACCATGAGAAAACATAAGGGTCTCCACTCATAAAACAGATTTCCTGTTTGTCAGTTCTTCTCAAAAGAAAATGCAGATGAAAAAGCATAGCATTAGCATAATCATAAGGAAAAATTCAGGAATCCAATCTTCAGCTCATGTACTAACTGATTGAAATGATGTGTGAAATCTGTATTCTAGATCTAGTATTATCACTAACAACTTTAAGAGCTTCAGAAAACCATTTGCAATCACTAAGCCTTGTATTTTTCACCCAAAAGCTCCTATTTATTTCAATTTTACAATTTTATGGAAAGCAAAATGACAATGTAGAAAGAAAATGGGCCCTGGAGTCTACCCTATGCTTTGCAAAATCTAAGACTTGGGGCAATATAGTTAACTTTCCATATAGTACTACATTCCTAGGGATAGACACTGTCCAACAGGTCTGTAACTTTGAGATAATGTATGTGGACACTTGGAACAATGTTGCAACTTCTCAATTGTTCTCAATAGCTGACCTTTAATTCAAATATTGTGCTACATTTTCAAAGTATAATTGCTAAACACAGCTAAAACAAAACAAGGGTTTTATTCAACTATTTGATGATCCCTGTAATATAGTCTGTCTAGTCTGTCTTTCTTATAACTGTAGCTAACACTGACCACTATGTGTTAAGACAATTTTCTAAATGCTTTGGAAATATTAATTCATTTATTCTCCAAACAACCTAAAAGATTAGTTGGTACTGCTATTGCCATTTTTAAGAAGAAAAACTGGGAACGCATAGAGAATATGAAACAGACAAGTATGTACAGCTATTTTGTGTAAGAGTTGATCTTCACTCAGGGATTCTAACTGAATAGCATGCAAAACTATGTGCTCTAATAAAGCAATCGTGCTCTGTGACAGTTCTTGCCACATTCATTGGTAAAATTTCAAAAGTAGTCATTCTACAATTTGGTATATCTGAGGAAAAAAGAATGGAAAAGGCAACTGGAAAGGGGGAAAATTTATTAATTTTTTTTAAAAAGTCCTCTTTATCCATACCTATCGATATCTGTAGAATTTATTCCGGAATTTGACACACTCTCTGACACTGAGCCTTGATTATCCTTCTTTGTAGGTTCCAACCCATTCTTTATGTCATCAAAATTTTCGTACTTGAGAGCCTGGACCAGTTGTAACAAGTACATCAATAAATCCTGGAAAACAAAAAATCAGCTAATATTAGAGAAGCAAACGAAATATGATTATAGGCATAACTTGTTCCTAACTATCAAGCCAATATTTTAGCTTTCTTTACTATCCTTCAGCTGTGTTCCTTTGGCATATTACTCAGTGATTTAACTTTATGGTGCCTCATGGCTTCCTCATCTATAAAATGAACTTTGTGATATAAATCTTTGAGAGGATCATGATGATTGAATCAGTTAATATAAGAAACTTGCAGATTAGCACATGGACACAGTAAACACCTACTGAGTGAATGTTTGAAGTAGCAGTACCCAAAAAGTAGGGGGGGTGGGGTTGGAATGGGTGTATGTGTGTATATGTGTGTGTTCATGTAGTAGGTGAGATGGTTCAAATAAAACTAAGAAATTAAAGGATAACTTTTCAGTAATACATCAGAAAACCACATTCTATGCTGAAAACATAAGAAATTCCAATTTTTCATGTTTTCAGAGAATTTTTATCTTATGAACTTATATAATTAGGATCTTGAAAAAGCCTTAGTCTTTTTTTCTGAAAGCTCAGTTTTTATTTTAAAGGTTTATCTATTTATTTGAAAGGCAGAGTTACAGAGAGGCAGAGGCAGAGAGAGAAAGTCTTCCATCCACTGGTTCACTACCCAAATGGCTGCAACAGCCGGAGTTGGACCATCCAAAGCCAGGAGCCTCTTCCAGGTCTCCCACACAGGTGCAGGTGCCTAAGCGCTTAAGCCATCTTCTATTGCTTTTCCAGGCCACAGCAGAGAGCTGGATAGGAAGTGGAGCAGTGCCAGCATCTCATATGGGTGCTGCAGGCAGTGGCTTTACCTGCTACACCCCAATGCTGGCCCCTTGAGAGCTCAGGTTTTAAAGAATTTGGATTGGGACCAGCATACCATATGGGGGCCGCTTCAAGTACCAGCTTTTGTGGCGATTTGGGGAGTGAAACTGCAGATGAGATGTCTGTCTGTTTCTGTCTCTTGCATTTCAAATAAATTAATAAAAATTTCTAAAAATAATTTTTTTGACAGGCAGAGTGGACAGTGAGAGAGAAAGACAGAGAGAAAGGTCTTCCTTTTCCATTGGTTCACCCCCCAATGGCCGCTCCGGCGGCGCACCGTGCTGATCTGAAGCCAGGAGCCATCCTCCACTGCACTCCTGGGCCACAGCAGAGAGCTGGACTGGAAGAGGGGCAACCGGGACAGAATCTGGCGCCCTGACCGGGACTAGATGCCAGTGTGGCGGCACTGCAGGCAGAGGATTAGCCTAGTGAGCCGCGGCACCGGCCCTAAAAATAAATTTTAAAACAATTAAAAACTGAAGAAGCTCTCAATACTTAAATATTTTAAAAATTGTCTTCTATTTTCCAATTGCCACTTACTATCTCTTAAAAATTCATAATTAGATAATTCTGAAACTACCAATTCAACTTGTCTCCTCTCTAACCCCATAAACAAGATTAAATCTCCTATAAATATTTCATGGCCCATCCTTTCTAACATCTATAGCACCTGTAATTACTTGCTTAATTACTTTTTATTATTTCCATTATTTTATGGAACGTAGTGACACAGTCTATTTACCAATTACCAATTTTTCCTTACTAAATATTAGAATACTTCAAAAGGTTATTAGAAAACAGAGTTAAAAGGTAAGTTTGTTTTGGTGCTACAGATTTTTAAATTTATGCACAATTTTTTCAGAAAACACATTTTCTATATATTTTTCAAAGACCCCTCTATGCATGGATTTTGTGCACTCTTTTTTATAAATCATGTCTTATATCAAAGTAACAAAAATTTAAATCATTAGGCAAGCACTGACAAAGGGTAATACACATTTCATCATAACTACAAAGCAAATCAAAGACTACTTAGAATATTCCCAATAAAATAAGTCAATGACAATGACCAGGATATCAAGTGACTTCATACCAAAGCACCATTACACAGTGTTCTGTTTCTAAAAAACACATTTTAGCAGGAGCAATAAATAACTGATTCAATATGTCTGATGACAAGTACTCTCCTTCTTTATAGGTACACAAAATTCAGTTTCACTGCTGACATTCCTCAGCAATGCTGCTAAATCTATCTCCAGTATGTTTTCCCAATTACAGAAAACATTTAGTCACATGCAATAAAAAAGCTGCAATATTATTAAAAAATCCCCAGGAAGGCAAAATTCAGAAAAAAAATTCTTCTTTTTAAGTCATTTATCACCATCTGATATGTAGGTCATTTGGCATTTTATATTTAAACTTTACTGTTCTGCATTTACATGAAAATGAATTAACCTCAACAGTAAGTACAAAGTCAGTATTCTCATTATATATTCACATCTTGAAAAACATAAAACTCCTCCAAGCATGAAAGACACAAGCATCTGAGTAAAATAAATCCCAAACCCTCCCAAAAAGAGAGAGAAAAATCAAGTTTCAATCTCAGGCAACTCAGTAAAAATTTCCCCAGAGCTATGGAATTGTTTCTAGATAGTGATCATCATTTTTCTGAAGAACAAGTTAATTCTAATGCTTCAGAGTGCAAATGCAAAGGGCCATGTCAAAAATCAGTCGCTGACTTCCCATTTTTTATTGAATTAAGAGAAACACTTCTTATACTCATTTTCAGTTAGAGACATGGATTCTAATTTTGCTTGCACAGTACATCCTACACTCCCATTGAAGTGAAATATTTTCTATTCTTTCTGTATTTTTCAATCTCCTGGCTTTCTCAGCTTAGAATATAAACTCCTTTTGTGAAAATTCTACATTTCATTCAATGTCTATCTTGAATGTCACTTCCTCATTAAATTCTAATGTGGAATATCTCTCCTTTTGAGCCACACAACAAAGAAATATGCCTTTTAAAAAAATGGATAAATAGAATATTAGCAAATCAAGTTCATACAGGAATTAAAAGATTCCACAGTGTACATCATGAAGAAATTTACCAGCATACTTATAATTACATTAATTAAGAACAATTGAATTAAGAACAAAAAAAAGCGTGTAATAACATACATAACCCATTCCTTTTTTTTTTTCTTAACATTTTTTTTTATTTGACAGGTAGAGTTAGACAGTGAGAGAAACAGAAAGGTCTTCCTTCTGTTGGTTCACCCCCTAAAATGGCCACTAGAGCCAGCGCCAGCAGCCAGGTGCTTCCTCCTGGTCTCCTCTGTGGGTTCAGGAGCCCAGGCACTTGGCCATCCTTCACTGCCTTCCCGGGCCAAAGCAGAGAGCTGGACTGGAAGAGGAGCAGCCAGGACTAGAACCCGGCGCCCACATGGGATGCCTGCACTGCAGGAAGAGGATTAACTAAGTGAACCACGACACCGGGCCCCTCTTTTTTTTTTTTTTTTTTTTAAACATTTACTTATTTATTTGAAAGGCAGAATTAGAGAGAGAAGGGGAAAAGACAGAAGAGGAGGAAAAGACAGAAAGAGAGCTCTTCCATCTGTGGTTCACTCCACAAATGGCCACAATAGGCAGGGCTGAGCCAGGCTGAAGCCATTTTTAGCCAAGACTTGAACCAGTGCTCATATGGGATGCCAGCACTGCAGGCAGTAACATTACCTGCTGCGCCACTATGCTGGCCCCAACACACACATACACAGAAACTTTCTAAGCAGAAAGATAGACCATTTGAAACCAGTAAGAAACATAGGGTTTTTAAAAAGACTTATTTATTTATTTGAAAGAGTGACAGAGAGAGAAAGATCTTTCATCTACTTTCTCACTTCCCCCAATGCCTGCAACATTCAGAGCTGGTCCAGGAGCCCAGAATTCAATCTGGTTCACCCAAATGCATAAAAAAGCACTTAAGGGACAAAAGCACTTAAGGGGCTGTGGCTAACTTGGTTAATCCTCTGCCTGCTGTGCCGACATCCCATATGGGTGCCGGGTTCTTGTCCTGGCTGCTCCTCTTCCAAACCAGCTCTCCGGTGTGGCCTGGGAAAGCAGTGGAGGATGGCCCTAGTGCTTGTGCCCCTGCACCCGAAGGGGAGACCAGGAAAAAGCACCTGGCTCCTGGGTTCGGATCAGCACAGCATCAGCAGTGGCAGCCATTTGGGGGGTGAACCAATGGAAGGAAGACCTTTCTCTCTGTCTCTTTCACTGTCTATAACTCTACCTATCAATAAAAAAAAAAAAAAAAAAAACACTTAAGCCATCATAGATTGCCTTCCCAGGTGCATTAGCAAGAAGACAAACCAGAAACAGAGTAGTCAGACTTGAACCAGACACTCTGATATGGAATGTGGGCATCCAAACCAGTGGGTTAACCTGTTGTGTTACAACAGCCACCCCAAAAAACATACATTTAAGGATGAAATACTAAAAGTATCTCTACAATAATGAACAACAAGCCAAAGATAGGCAGCTATTGTTTACTATTATTTACACAGTTTCGTGGCAATAAATTGAAAGAAAAATATAGTTGAGTATCTCTTATTCAAAATGCTTGAAACCAAAAGTGTTTTAGATACTAGAATTTCTCAGATTTCAGAATATTTGCATCAGCACTACAGGTTTAGTGTATCTAATCTTAAAATCAAAAATACTCTGAAATCCAAAACTTTTTTAGCAGTTTTTCAAATTCTAGAACATTTCTATATAGATTTGAAAAACAAGATATACTGTTTTAAAAGATGGCATAATGTCATACATAGAAAATATAATATACCTAACATCTCTTAGAATTAGCAAGAGACATCAATAAAGTAACTAGAAAAAAATATAGCAAAAACAGTCATCCTTTAAAAAAAAATCATACTTGAGAGAGGGATATAGGGCCCGGCGCTGTGCCTCACTTGGTTAATTCTCTGCCAGCAGTGCCGGCATCCCATATGGGCGCCGGGTTCTAGTCCTGGCTGCTCCTCTTCCAGTCCAGCTCTCTGCTGTGGCCCAGGAAGGCAGTGGAGGATGGCCCAGGTGATTGGGAGCCTGCACCCACATGGGAGACCAGGAGGAAGCACCTGGCTCCTGGCTTTGGATAGGCATAGTTCCGGCCGTAGTGGCTATGTGGGGGGTGAACCAACAAAAGCAAGACCTTTCTCTCTGTCTCTCTCTCACTAACTCTATCTGTCAAATAAATAAAAAATTAAAAAACAAAAAAAGAAAGAGTGATATAAAGAAAAGGAGAGAGGGGCCGGTGCTGTGCACCATAGGTTAATCCTCCGCCTACAGCGCTGGCATCCGATATGGGTACCGGTTCGAGACCCGGCTGTTCCTCTTCTGAACCTGCTCTCTTTTATGGCTTGGGAAAGTAGTAGATGGCCCAAGTCCTTGGGCCCTTGCACCCATGTGGGAGACCCAGAAGAAGCTCCTGGCTTCGGATCAGCGCAGCTGCGGCCATTGTGGTCATTTGGGGAAAGAACCAGCAGACGAAGACCTTTCTCTCTGTCTCTCCCTCTCACTGTAAGTCCACCTCTCAAATAAATAAATAAATAAAAAATCTTTAAAAAAAAAAAAAGAGAAAAGGAGAGCGATAAACAGATGAAATAGATGAAGGGCAGACACAGACAGACATTCAGAGATCACCCATCTGTTGGTTCACTCCCCAAATGCCTGTAATACCCTTATTACTCTCAGCTCATATGCCTTTGTCTTATCACATCTTCCATTATTTTCTACTTTTTATCAAATCTAAGATAAAAGTACTCCTATTCAACCATTTTTTAAAAATTCTTTTTATATTTAAGATAATATACTTTCAATTTACATTATATCCAAAGACTTAATGCATCAATATATAAAGAATTCAACAGGGACTGGTGTTGTGGTATAGCAAGTTAAGCTGCCACCTGCAATGCTGGCATGCCATATGGGCACCCATTCAAGTTCTGGCTGCTCTATTTCCCATCCAGTTTCTTGCTAATGTGTCTAGGAAAACAGCAGAAGATGGCCCAAATCTTTGGGCCCCTGCATCCATGTAGGAGACCCGGAAGAAACTCCTGGCTCCTGGCTTCAGCCTGACGCAGCACTAACTGTTGTGGTAGTTTTGGGAGTGAACCAGCAGGTAGAAGATCTCTCTCTCTCAACTCTGCCTTTCATAGAAATAAACAGTTGTTTAAAAAAAAAAAAAAAGAATGAATTCAACAAACAAAAAGCAAAAAGACGCGAGATTCAATCATTTCTTCAAGTCTTCCTTTTCATATGAAAGCTGCTATGTCTCATAAAACTTGTATTAATTTCAATGTTTTTCTCTTGTTAATGTGTCTTATGAGAATATCAACTGAGAATCTAGCAGCCAAGAACCTGGGTCAATAAATGTCCATAAAGTTAAGAACAGAACAAGATTCAAAAAGCTCCTGGGTTGGTGAACAAGAATATATTTACATACCAAGAGGATGGTATACCCAAGACTCCATGAGAAGATATACTCCTGTGCTCAGGACCTCACCATATATATTGCTTCATCTGGCTGTATTACTGTACTATTTAAATATCTTCTGTAATAAATAGCAGATAGTAAGGAACATTTCACAGAGTTCTGTGAGTCATTCTAGCAAATTATGCAATCTAAAGTTGAGGCCATGAGAACCCCTGATTTACAACCAGTACATCAAAAATCAAAAGGGTGTCTCAAGATCTGGTGGAGAATGGGGCATGAGTTGAAAAGAGTGTATCCCATTATATATCAAACAAGATTGGCTCTGAGTTGACAAATGCTAAATATAGGTAAAGTATATGTGAGGGTTCTACACTATTTATTGTTTGATTTTTATTGTAACTAAAAAAACATATGTAAGCATTTATTTTAATAAATGCTTCATTTGCTTCTTGAGATGCAAATGCCACTACTAATTCAAAATCTCACTGTTTTGGTATTTTTATTTTGAAAAGCAGTCTTTGATAATGTTCTGAGGATCAGTGTATATTTCAAGGCTTGAGAAAATGTATTCCATGTCCCACAGTAGCTAGTATATTGAGAACACATTCACTCTATAAATATTAAGTAAAGAAAAATTGCTGGGTTAGCCTACCTCATTAGCAATTACTAAAACTCAAAATCCAACAATGCTTTGTGTCCAGAGAGTGTTCCTCCTTCCCTGATGGCCTGACATGGATATAATTAGCCAGCATGAAGTTTCCAGTCCAGAGGATTCAAAACCAACATCACAAAATCTACATATACACTGTCAGTAGCTCAAAGTTCAAAGGAGGAGTTTGAAGGAGAGTAAGATGACCATGCATCTCTGTGCTTTAGAGGCCCCAAAGGCTTTCCAAGGCTACAATTAAATGTGGCTAGCTGTATACTGACTGATGGAGAAGATCTGAATTATTCCCCAACTGGAGCTGCATTAAACCATTTTTCATTAGAATTCCTTTTTCCAGACAGAGCAATACAAGCTCTGCTGCCAGGTAAATGTCCTGGGAGCGATTGTCCTATCACGTAACACATCAGGAAGTAAATTTTCATTTCACAGAGGAGTCCTTAGAGGAATATTTTAATTTTACTTCTGAAAACACACCTAGTATATTCTCTTTCCTTCCAAACATTTCTCTCTCTCTCTCTCTCTTTCCTCCTTTCTCCCTAATTAGGCTCTAGTTTAAAATGTAGCTGGTCAAACTGGAATAAGAAATAGTAACGTACCTCATCATCAGCCTGTCGCAATCGGGCCACAGCGTAACGCCTCACTGTTGGATTGGTGTAATGAGAGGATAACAGCTCCAGAGAATCTTCTACATCCATTGGCTTCCACTTCCCCAGAAGTTCCAAGGCCTGCTTGGCCTCTTGAGGTAGATCCCAATTAACACATTTCAAGAATTTTGTCAATGCCTAAAATCCAAAGAACATCTTAAAGTTAGTAATAACCTATTGCCTAGGGAAGGAAAGGTCAAGGGTGACTAAACAGAGTTCCACTTGGTCCAGATGCAAAGTCATGGGGGTCAATGATAGATTCCTTGTGTAAACACTAAATTAAGTCATAGATATTATCCTAGAGAAGCAGTACCTCTTCAAGTCAAATGAATTGCATAGCACTATGAATCTTCAATTTATTTAGGTTTTTCTTCATTTTCCTTTGGTTATTTTAAAATACTACAAGCCTCAAGACATAGTTGAGGCATGTCTTGTGAACTTTTAAGATGTCTTGGAGGGGCCAGCACTGTGGCGTAGCGGGTAAAGCCACCGCCTGCAGTGCCAGCATCCCATATGGGCGCCGGTTCGAGTTCTGGCAGCTCCTCTTCTGATCCAGTTCTCAGCTCTCTGCAATGGCCTGGAAAAGCAGTAGACGATGGCCCAAGACATGGGGCCCCAGCACCCACGTGGGAGACCCAGAAGAAGCTCCTGGCTCTGGGCTTTGGATCGGTGCAGTTCTGGCTATTGTGATCATCTGGGGAGTAAACCAGCAGATGAAAGACTTTCTCTCTCTCTCTCTCACTCAGACTTTCAAATAAATAAATAAATAAATAAATCTTAAAAAAAAAAAAAGAAAAAGAAAAAGGATGCTTTGGAGACAAACTTCATTTTATAACATCGACAGTAGGTCTCAAAGTACCACAGTCACTGAAGGAAAGAGTCAGAAGTCAAGTAAGATCAGAAATCCCCAAAACTAGCCTTACTCTTATTCATTTCCTCAGGTTATGATCATTGACTTTCCTAGATACTTACACATGAGGACTCAAACTGGAATAAGTATGTATCTCTGAAAAGACAATCAAATAAAAATTCAAAAATAAAGCATAAAAATGGTTAAGCATAGAACCAACACCAATAGTCTGATTCAACTACCTGCCTGTAGTGTCTTTTCAGAATCATCTTTTAGATGAACAGCATACTAGCTGTAAGTTGACTACCTTGAAATATGTATCGTGGCTGCATAAATAATGAAGTTTCTTTTTTAAAAAGGTATATATTTAGTTCCCATAAAAAGCAACTCTCATTGCGAGGTCTCCTTACTGGAAACATTTCCCTGGAAAACCTAAGACATTTTCTACTTTCTCTTCCTCTTTAAATTTATTTGTGAATTATCTCTTAAACAAAGATAATTTCGAAATTTTAAATTCCTGCTATGTCAAATTAAAATCTTATTAGTAAACAAATCAAATTCTCAAGAAAATGTCCACTTGGACAACAAAACATAATTTTTGGTAGTAAGATTAAAAAAAAAAATGCACCTTCATGTCCACCCCTTAATTTATTCTTGATTTTACTAACTTAAGAAAAAAGGCACTATGTCATGCTTCAGTCATAGAGAGCCTCGGCAAAGTGGCTTCCTTATCACTTCCAAATGGTGGATGGAGCTACATCTAGAATACAGGTCCTCCAATTCGCAGCCCCTTGCTTCTTACACGAAGATGCTGCTTCCCTATTAAGTCCATTCTTCCTGAAGCCATTACACAGCCAGCACTGATTGCCTAGATCCATCCCCAAACTTTGTCAACTTTTCTAGCAATATTTCCACTCAGCTTTATTCTCACTTCACGTGTATTTGACAAAGGCTGCTAACTGATAGCCTCAATTCCAGTTTCTCTTCTAATTATTTCACACAAACTCCTAGAAGCTCAAGTTCAAACTGATCTTAGCCTAATTCTCCCATTGTAAGCAGAAATTAGCCCTACAACATCTTTGCCAAGAGATTAATATTTATTAAGTAATTCTAGCAACTAATTTTCAAGTAGCCACTACAACATTTATAGATAGTTAAAAAAATTGTTTTACTCAATGATTATGAATCAAAAGACAAAAATGTCTTTCTTTAAATAACTTTTTCCCATTTGTTAGTTTCACTCTCAGGAAACAAGAGAGGAAACCTACCCCCCAAGATTTCATCAAGTCTTTCCAGTACTTGAAGATGACTGCCAACTAATATAACGTGGTTTTAGAAAAACAACAAATTTTGGCTTCTTTCTCAGAACATTCATTGGGACCTCTCACCACAATCCAAACTCTATTTCATTAAATTATCATTGCCATTCTATGGTTCAACCAGATTAATCTAACTGTCTGGATTCTGCTTCCTTGTGCTCCTCAACAAAACCATGGTACCACCTTTAAGGTCAGCTTCTCAAAAACTCAACTTTTCCAGAATGCCTTGGTTCTTTCTTTAAATTTGGCTCAATTTCATTTCTTATTAAAATGATGCTCTTCCAACTGCCAAATGCTGTTGTTGGCACTCTTTATCTCTATAACCTCATTCCCCAAGGATAACTGTCCATTTCCTCTGCACCTCTTGCGCACCATTTAGTATAATGATCCCTGTCTCCATACAGAGCACTGATTGTTCTACTAACTTATTCCATGCATTTATTTTTCACTTCTAAAATGTACTTCTAGGTTGAATGTGGAAACAAAGCAATACTTCTTAAATAACTACAGTGAAAGCTTTTCTATTTCACAGTACATCAGCAGTCTTAATAAAAATGTGTGGGTATGTACTTATTATAAGCAAATCTCACAGCATGTAAATGTACTCAACTCAGTAACTGAAACAATCTACCCCATAGATTCTAAGATTTATAGACTTATTAGTAAGATCTATAGAGTATACTGCTGCCAAGGAATGCAAGGCGCTGTACAAAGAATTTCACAACTTTTTAAAGCTAAATGTTCCAAATGAAAACAAGGAGATAATACTCTGAAGAATGGGAAAAGGGAAGGAATGAGAAGGACTGTGTAAGAATTTGAAGACAGGAATAATAATGATGGATGATAATTAGCCTCAAAGCTTCTAAACATGTTTTACATGTTTACATGTTTTACATGTTTTTACATGTTTTTTACATAAGGGGAGGGTACTCAAATGTAATTTTATCTCTGCAGCTTCCTTAGGTTAACTGGAGAGTACAGACTTTAGAGCCAGAGTTTTTGGGTTGAAATCCCAATTCCTGGTTCCATTAACTATCAGATAATTAACTTAAAGCACATTATTTAATTTTTAAGTGTCCTATTTCATTGGTTTATGGTGAAGATTAAATGCTAATATAAAATGTTTAGAACAGTACCTTGTGTAGACAAATAATGTAAATTATTTTATTGTTTGTTACTCTTTCTGATGCTGAGTCTAGTATCAAATGTTAATCTAACTGCACTTATTATCATGTTTTATGTTAATATCCTAGTTCATCCTCCTTGAAAAAAAATTGTTAAAACACATTTTCCTGCTTTAGTGGCTTCCTATTGTCAGTGAAACCTAATTCCCAAGTGAAGAATTCAAGGCCCATAACAATCTGATGCGATCTTTTCTAATTCATAATCATCCATAGAAACTTCTGCTTCCTGAACCCCACAGCCTGCCTTACTCATGCATTTTTTAATCCTTGAAAAATTATCACCAAATAAAAAAATGCCATCAAAGTCTGCTTAATCTTTCTCTATGAAAATTCCTTCATATAATAACACACTGATCTTTTCATCCTCCATATTTCTATTGTAGTAATTATCTATATATTTACTAAGATAGTGACTCTTAATCATTTACCATACTATACTTCCTAGATTGTATATAAATCTCCTTCCTTAAAAATAATTTAATTTATATGAATACAAGACATGATATCTCAAAGCCTTGTTTAATGTGTAATGGTAGGCCAAGTGTAAATAATAAATGCTTGTTAAAGTAAATTCATTTCTTCTGTGATTCACCATCAACTTCTTTTCAGGAAACAGCAATATGATTATTTTCCTGTTTTCTCTAAGTAGCCTCAGTGGCATAATCAGGCCTCCTACTTTCTCCAACATGTGACTCTTACCACGCTTTTTTTCTCTACAAACATAACCAAAAAGCTTGGAATTAAGTCATTTTTCTTTAAAACTTTCCTAAGAAGGGCCACTGTATTAAAGAATTACAATAGTCATATTTTGTGTTTCACAAATATCAGTTACTACCTACCTGCTATAGACAAGTTTAAAAATACTTCATAAATTTAAATGGCTTTATTGGATAAATTATTAACATAAACTTTTTAGGTAAAACATCAAGTCCAAACTAGAGGATTTTCATCCAAAATATATAAGACAGGTGATTTAGAAACAAATAAGAGGAAAGGCCAAATTCAATTAAAAACAAAAGGTACAACTCTGTAGGAACCAATTTCTTGCAATTTATTTTCTGAGTACACTCTTTTCTCTTGGAAGGCTTTTCAGCCTCAGGGTCAAAATGCCAAGAAATCAAATTACAAATGCTGAGAACCTGACACTAAAAGAATTTCTTTGTGTAAATAAATTAAGGGGAAGTGTAGAGGAGTATTTGTATTCTACAAAATCCATTTTAAGTAATTACAAAGATAAAAATGTGGCTGTGTGAATAATTCCTCTGGCCACTTCAAGGCCAATATATATTTGTTTACTCACCCATGCTTCCTGAACATCAAAAAGTATCCTTCACTCTACTCTAGTGATTTTAACAATCCTTATGTTCTGAGAAATGAAGGCTCATCACCCACCTTTCTAAAACTTGTAATCAACTAGTTAAATGAAACGTCACATACTTTGTATCAGTTGAGCATTTTATTCTTTGCACTTATCTAGAAGTAATTGTGTTTCAGTGAGAAGTGACTATTTGTTTAAACAATTTTTCCTGCAAGCCTTTCCACCTAAAGAAGTTCTGCTCTGTAAATCTATTCTAATGCTTCTTGAATTTACACATTCTAACAGGTTTACTTCATGTATCTCATTGCGTATTTCAAACAACAACATGCTGCACTGAAGATGCACATTCTGTCACCAAGGTTATTCTTCATTTAACACAATATCAAGATACTAACTCAATCTTTTCATAAAACACAAAATCACAAACCTGTGTTCTATTGATGAATATTTCCTTTTGTTCAATGATGACGGGAATAACATTCAAAGCTCTAGTAAATTTAAAATTCCCCTCTCATTCTTATTGTGGATATAAAAAGTATGATTTATCTACAAAGAATTTCCCAAAGCAGCAATAAATGATAAAGAAAAAAAGTTCAACAGTTAAGATGAACCATAACTGGACTTTTATCTTTACTTCAAAACCTAAAGGAAATACAAATGATTCAAAAAGCAAGCCAAAAGAAAGTTATTAAAGAGCATCTTTTAATATTGTAAAACATATTAATTCATCCACCCCTAATTCTATAACAATTTCTGGATACACATTTTTCTAATGCTTCTCTGCTCTGCCTCTAATACATATCACAATTCCTGGGAAGTCACAGGTATGTTAAAAATGTTTTTTTCCAAAATTCTCTTTTTTATGTCTTCATTGTCTTCCTTCTCTCCTTTTTTATTTTTTTAAGATTTATTTATTTCTATGAAAGGCAGAGTTACAGAAAGAGAGAGAGAGATCTTCCATCTGTTGGTTTACTCCCCAAATGGCTACAAGGGTCAGAGCTGGGCCAGTCTGAAGCCAGGAGCTTCTTCAGGTCTCCTACATAGGGGGAAGGGCAAAGCAATTAGGCCATCTTCCTTTGCTTTCCCAGGGACATGAGCAGGGAGCTGGATCATAAGTGGAGCAGCTAGGACTCGAACTGGCACCCATGTGAGATGCTAGCATTACCTGCTATACACCATGGCAACGGTCCCTCCCTTCTCTTCTAACTAAAAAATGTTAGCATATCAAAAGCAGCATTTATAAGTTTTATGATTATGCACAGTTTCATTAATCTCTCTCAACTCAGTTTCCTCATCTGTATGTAGAACAGTGACAATGACATGCATTGTGAGGTTGTTGTAGGATTTAAAAGATCTCTGACACACAGTGGCTGTTTAATAAATGCTGACTATATTAGTGCCTTAAGAGTTAGTCCTTGGCCTTCTATTATAAGAATTTACAGATTATTTTAAGAATTAGAAAACACTTAAAGTTCGTTATTAAATAGGAGGAAATGAAATCTTACAGGTGAAGTAATATGCCTATAGTTACAAATCCTTGTACTAGCAATAAGATTCAAAAACAGTCTCTACAAGTGTAATGCTATTTCATCATAATTCTGTCTCTCTAGAAACTTTATCCACTCCATGGTTTCATTATGAAAGGAAATGTATGGTTCTGACCTAACCTCTATCCCACAAATCTGTTTGCCACTCCACCAACTCAACTTCCACACTTCCACACTGCAAACTAGAGATGCCGTACTCTCCAGAAGGCACTTCTCCAGGATTCTGAGGTCCTTTTACTAGTGTAAATACTCTCATATGATCCGAATTCAAAAAACTAAGAATGAGATAGAAAGAAATCAACATGGACAGTACCTCTACTATTCACCAAGTATTCTGCCAGGTATTCTGTATTATCTCACCTGTGAAGGAGAACTGTGTCCCTTAGAAAAAGGAAGAAACCAAGCTTCCAAAATAACTTACTTCATTCAATCTAATACATACAAGTGGTGGTACTTAAAATTGAAGCCATCTCTGACTTAACTTCTAAACCTGGTCAGACTTGTCTATGCAGCAACCATCAGGAACATATCTTTGCTCATATACCTTTGCAACCATCTTTTTTCATATATATATATACAGCTCTTTAACTTTTTAAGTTATTAACTAAATTTCCATGGCTGTTTATCTCACCTTGATCATTAGTAATAAAATTTACAAATGAATTTAACATGAAAGACTCAAGAAACTCACTTTTTCTTGATTAGTGAGATAATATCTAAATTTCCAAACAAGATCTTGTTCTTCATATGTAAGTTGCTTAGTTGGTGGATAACTCACAATAATCTACAACAAAGAAGAAAAAAAACAATTTCTGTCAAATACATAGTTCTATTTGATTTTCAATTGTTCATTAAGTATTTCTGTGATAGACTCAAACAAGGACAATATTGATCTAGGAAGTAAGATTTAAATTTGCAGTAGTTATCTGTCCAATTTATTAACATATACAGGGAAGAAAAAGATGACAGCCACATCCCATATAAAAACACATAATGAGTTCACTTAATTCAATCAAAACAGCACAAAACAAAACAGCAATGCCACACCAATGCAAAATAAGGAAAAACAAACAGAAAACACATTCTCCTATCAATTAAATGCACACAACAATGCATGTGGACAAACTAAATCCTGGGAGTCTGGGCAATGCCTTAGGATCAGTTACGTTAATGCTACATCATGAAAGTAAACACTACAACTCTTCAGAACTAATAAATTTACTGAACGTTCCCAAATGATAATAAAACTTCCAAATATATGGAACTGTTGAAATTATACAGAATTCATCAACCTGGAAAAAAATGCGCATCTAGATCATTTTTATGTGAAGTGATACACTAGTAGCAACCAAAATACCCATTTAATGATTTTTATGTTAACATTTTATAAACTCTCTTACATTTAGCTGATCTCGTGTAGCAGCATTGGGTTTGAGATCATGATCAGAAGGTCCACTTCTTAGACTCCGGGCAAGCTTGTGATGTTTGCTCTCAACTAAATTCTCCTATAAATTTACAAATATTAACTGAGAATGTACACTTTGCCAAAAGAACAACTCAACAGCCAATCATAAGTTGAAATGTAAAGAGTTACTTAAGATCATTCTATAATACTTAACATCTTATTCTGGTACAACTTCAGGCCCCCATGCATCGTTTAAAGACAAACCTAGGGGCCTTTGCTGTGGCCTAGCAGGTAAAATTGCCCTCTGCATATGGACGCCGGTTCAAGTCCTGGCTGCTCCACTTCCCATCCAGCTCTCTGCTATGGCCTGGGAAAGCAGCAGAAGATGGCCCAAGTCCTTGGGTCCCTGCACCCACGTGGGAGACCCAGAAGAAACTCCTGGCTTTGTATCGGCATAGCTCTGCCTATTGCAGCCATCTGGGGAGTGAACCAGCAGATGGAAGACCTCTCTCTCTGCCTCTGCCTCTCAAATAAATATCTCAAATAAATAAATAAATCTTAAAAAAAAAAAAAGAGCTATCTCAAAACTGGAAAACCAAGTGCCATAATATGCACATGGCATTCCAACTTCTTAAAACATCAACCTTTCTCTTTCCACATACTGAAGATGTTTACCTTCTATCAGCTTCAATCAACTTCCCTGACAACCCAGACTAAAACATTCCTTCCTTCCTATCAGCTACTGTACATTCTAATACAGTAACATCTCAACCAGTTGCTTAAATTACAAGCCACTGAGGGCAGGGAACTGTGATCATAATGCTTGAATATATACACATATGGTACTCACTGCTTTTTCTATGGCCATAATCATTAGTTTTAACCATATTGTTTTGCTTAAGATAATGCTTAATTTGAAGTTTTGAAATTTTGTTTATTTTAAATATTTGAGTGACTGCATGTGTGAATTGTTTGTTCTTTTTTTGTGTGTGTGTGCCTTAAATTTTGATTGGCTATCAGTTCCTGGTCTTTCAATTTTTATCAGTTCTTTATATGTCAGCCATTTGTGATGTATATAGTATTTTCTCCTAGTTTTTCAATTGTCTTTCCACTTCATTTACTGAGTTTTTTGTCATGCAATTTTCTAATTAGTCAAATATATCAATTACTTTTTTTAAGTCTTCTAGATTTTGAATAATAGTTAGAAAGTCTTTCCCTACACTAAGAGTAGAATTTCATTTTTAATATTTAGATTCCAGAACCATTTAGAATTCCTTCTTACTTATGCTATGTGGTATGGATCAAGTTTAATTTAACATTATCCAATTTACAAATCCCATTTCATGGAACTATGCTTCAGTGATAAATGCCACCTACCTCATTTACTAAATTTCCATTTATATATGGATATATTTCTGGGCTTTTTATTTTGTCTTACCAGCCTATTTGTGTATCTATATGTCAGTAGCACATTATCTTAATTACAGAATTAATTTTTTTATTATTTAATAAGGTGGTATACTATCTTGGGTTCCTTTTTTTTTTAATTTTTTATTTATTTGAAAGACAGAGTTACAGAGAGAGGAAGAGAGAGAGGTCTTCCATCTGATGGTTCACTCCTCAATGGCCACAATGGCTGGAGCTGCACCAATCCAAAGCCAGGAGCCAGGAGCTTCTTCCAGGTCTCCCACACGGGTACAGGAGCCCAAGGGCCATCTTCTACTGCTTTCCCAGGCCATAGCAGAGAGCTGGATCGAAAATGGGGTAGCCAGGACTAGAACCACTGCACATACAGGATGGCGGCGCTGCAGGCCAGGGCTTTAACTGCTGTGCCACAGTGCCAGCCCCTTGGTTTCCTTTTTATTTTTTGGTTTGTCCATGCTTGCTTTCATATCCTAGATTTTTTTTTTCTTAAACTTAGAAAACAGCAACCATTGTTGATGGGCATTTTCTTCAGAAAAGAACACTTTAAACATGCAAATCATTCACTTAGCTGACATTTTGGTAGGAGTTATATAAACAAAATCTTTGATATTTTGGAAAAGTTATTTTTTTTAAGATTTATCTATTTATTTGAAAGGCAGAGTTACAGAGAGGAGAGACAGAGAGAGGGATTTTCCATTCATTGGTTCCCTACTCAAATGGTCACAAGAACCAAGGCTGGGACAGGCCAAAGCCAGGATCCAGGAGCTTTACCCAGGTCTCCCATGTAGGTGGCAGGGGCCTAAGGGCTTGAGCCTTGTTCCGTTACTTTCACCAAGGAGTTGAATCAGAAGTAGAGTGGATAGGATTTAATCAGCACCCATATGATAGTGGCTTAACCTGCTACATCATAGCAGCAGCCCCAGAATTTTACATCTATGTAAGTGACATCTATGACCACAATATGGCAAAATTTGTTTATATTCATACATTTTGAAGTCAACCACAGGGTATACCCATCTATGTATTTTCAGTATGCAGAACACCAAATATAATTTGATTTTGTACTAAACCTTCAGTGCCAATTTTAGATATATTAACCCAACTTTTAACTATGTTATATATACATAATATGCAAGTATTTGCAGTGTTTGTTCCGATACGATATCCAAGTTTCTTTTTTTTCTATCTTTATTTTTCCTACTTTATCTCTTCCTTTGATATTAGGTCATCAGTCACTACATTTCATGCTTTAAAACTTGTATCCCAACTCAGTCATCATGCTTTTATCAACCAATGTGTCACTATTAATCTTCTTTGACTTGATTAGCAATGTAAATAATCTAATTAGAAATGCAGAGTTGGCTTTGTAGCACAGCAAGTTAAGCCACTGCCTGCAACACTGGCATCGCATATGGGCACTAGTTCAAGTCCTGGCTGCTCCATGTTTTATCCAGCTCCCTGCTCATGTGCTTGGGAAAACAGCAGAAAATGGCCAAAATCTTGGATCCCTGAACCCACATGGGAGATGCAGATGAAGCTCCTGGCTCCTGGCTTCAGTCTGACCCAGCCATGGCTTTCATGGCCACTAAGGGAGTAAACTAGCAGTGGAAGCTCTCTCTCTCTCTTTCTCTTCCTGTGGCTCTTCTTTTCTCTCTCTCTTAACTCCTCTAAATAAATAAATATCGAATATTTTTAGTAGCTACAATGATCTCCCTTATTTTATAATAAGTTTCCTTAAAATTTTAATCCATTAATTTTAATTATATGATCCTAACATTATAAACAAATAAATAACTCTTTCAAATAAATAACTTAAAAAACTATTAAAATCAAAATTAAAAGTTTCAAAATCCTGTAAATGAATTATAACTTTGAATATCATGGTATCATGGATAAAAGAATATTTTCTCTGCAACTTTTTGAATCTAAAGTTATCTAATTAAATCTTTATTACAGAGGGCAGTTGTTTAGACTAGTGGTTAAGATACCCACATTCCGGGTAACAATGCCAGGGTTGATATTAACCTCTTGCTCCTGATTCCAGCTTTTTTTAATGCAGATCTTGGGAAGCAATGGTAATGGCTCAAGTAATTGGATTCCTGTCACCTTCTTGGGAGGCCTGGTCTGAGTTCCTAACTACTGGCGATGGCTTCACTCAGCCTACTGTGGACATCTAGAGAGTGAAGCAGCATATGGGAGTCTTCTCTCTGTCTCTCACTCTCACAGTCTCTCTGCCTTTCAGATAAATAAAAATTTAAAATACTAATTATTAAAAATAAAACATAAGTAAACCTGTATTTCAAAGTAGGAACTCTTTGTTACATCCCTGAGAAGGATCATCTCAACATTTCATTAACAGATAGTTATTGTATCAGCATCCAGGTCATCATGTTCTAAACTGAATACTTTTTGTAGCTAAAATGATCTTCCTTATTTTATAATAAAATCAGTTTCCTTAAAACTGTAATCCATTGACATTAATTATATGATCCTAACATTATAAACAAATCCCCTTTCTATGTAACGACAATCTTTCAAATACCTGCTCTACCTAATCCTTACTTCCATTACAACATTCTCTAGCTCTTTTGACAATCCAGATAAAATGATTGCTCAATCCTTATTTTGAGGATGTCAATGTTTCTTGTAAAACATCTGAATCCAGAGAGCTAAAGTAGATAAAAGGATTACTTTTAGATAACTGAGGTAGTATTATATTACTCTTCTTAAAAGAAAATATATGGTGTGATCTAAATCATTATCATTAAGGAAAAAAAAAGAAAACTTGCACAATAACCTACCATAGACATCTGAGGGTCAGGAACTTTCACTAATTCAAAGCTTGTTAAAATTGGAGATGACTCATCACCATCCTGGATAACAGCGCAGTAAGTTTAAAAAAAAGAAAAAGAAAGAAAATTTAATCAAAACAACACATAATATTGTACATGCTAATAAATTTTAGTTCTACTTAATAAACACCATTCTTCTGGTGAGGGAAAAAAATCTTTTCAACTATACTATAAAATATATATCCCTTGTTTAACGTCTTTTTTTCTGATGAATTTTTTTAAAAATATATTTTTTTGAAAGTCAGAGTTATATCGAGAGAGGGGGACACACAGAGAGAGAAAAAGAGTGAGAGAGACAGAGAGATCTTCCATCGACTGGTTTACTCCCACAAATGGCCACAATGACCAGGGCTGGGCCAGGCCAAAGCCAGCAGCCAGGAATTTCACCTGGGTCTTCCACATGGGTGCAGAGGCCCAAGCATTTGGACCATCCCCTGCTGCTTTCCCAGGCACATTAGTAGGGAGCTGGATTGGAAGTGGAACAGCCAGGACTTAAACCGGCACCCATATGTGACACTAAGGTGGCTTAACTCACTGTGCAATGGTTCTGGCCCTGCTGATGAATTTACTATGTATGTATGTATGTATGTATTTTTTAAATCAAAAGATAGAAACTGCCTGAGAGGGCTATTATCCATTAGCTTACTCTCCAAATGCCCACAACAGATGGAATGGGTCAGCCAAAAGCTACAGGCCAGGAATTCAATCCAGTTCTCTCATGCGAGTTGCAGGGATACAACTACTTGAGCTACCACAAGCTGCTTCCCAAGATGTACATTAGCAAGAAGCTGGAATCATGAGCAAAGCAGGGATTTGAACCCACACATTCGCGATATGGGATGCTGGCATCTCAACAAGTATCTTAACTACTAAGCAAACCACATAACCACTGCTGAAACACTGAGAAAAATAAAATTTAAAAAATTTCTAAAACTGGTTTTAGAGACATGAGGTCAAAAATTCATATTCTCAGGGCCAACACTGTGGTGTAGTGGGTAAAGCCACCGCTTGCAGTGCAGGCATCCCATATGGGTGCCAGTTTGAGCCCCAGATGCTCCACTTCCGATCCAGCTCTATGCTATGTTTTGGAAAAGCAGTAGAAGATGGCCAAGTGCTGGGGACCCTGCACCCACATGGGAGATCCAGAAGAAGCTCCTGGCTCCTGGCTTCAGATCAGCCCAGTTCCGGCTGTTGTGGCCATTTAGGGAAGGAAGCAGGGGATGGAAGATCCTTCTCTGCCTCTGCCTCTCTGTAACTCTGCCTTTCAAATAAGTAAATAAACCTTTAAAAAATTTCATATTCTTTTGGGTGTTCTTTTATTTTATTTTATTTTATTTTATTTTTTGACAGGCAGAGTGGACAGCGAGAGAGAGAGATAGAGAGAAAGGTCTTCCTTTGCCGTTGGTTCACCCTCCAATAGCTGCCGCGGCTGGCGCACCGCGCTGATCTGATGGCAGGAGCCAGGTACTTCTCCTGGTCTCCCATGGGGTGCAGGGCCCAAGCACTTGGGCCATCCTCCACTGCACTCCCTGGCCACAGCAGAGAGCTGGCCTGGAAGAGGGGCAACCGGGAAAGAATCCGGCGCCCCGACTGGGACTAGAACCCGGTGTGCCGGCGCTGCAAGGCAGAGGATTAGCCTAGTGAGCCGCGGTGCCGGCTGTTCTTTTATTTTTAATTTTAACTTTATTTATAATGACAAGCATCAAAAAAGAAAAAGTACTATCTTGCAAACTTAGAATAAAAGCACTGAATATAATTAATATGTTTCCCAATACATGTGTTGAATCATTTGCAAAAACTAAATGGATACTGGTAAATTTTCATGGTACAACAACAGATTTCCATTCAAAGGAGCAGAATTTTAGGTGTGGAATTAAAGTTACTCAAATTTATATACAACTAGAGGAACACCAACTCAATACAATGCATTCTGAATAACAAGAATATATCAATCAAGAAATATTACAGGAGCGGGCACTGTGGCATAGTGAGGAAAGCCACCTACTGCAGCGCAGATATCCCATATGGGTGTTGGTTCAACTCCCGGCTGCTCCACTTCTGATCCAGCTCCCTGCTAATTTGCCAGGGAAAGCAGCCAAAGAAGGTCCAAGTGCTTGGGCCCATGCACCCACATGTGAGACCCAGAGGAAGCGCCTGGCTCCTGGCTTCAGATTGGCCCAGCTCTGGCCCTCGCAGCCATTTGGGGAGTGAATCAACAGATGGAAGACCACTCTCTCTCTCTGCCTCTGCCTCTCTGTAACTCTGCCTTTCAAATAAATAAATAAATCATTAAAAAAACAGAAATTATGTTATGCTATTATCATTTTTATTTTAATTCAATTAAAGCAAGAAAGGTAATTCCACATAATAAATATCACAGTGCAATATACTAGAAAATGCTAAGCTTAATGAGGTAAAAATTCATTCCTTCACAATTGTATACCTAGCATCAAGTTTTCCTGTCAATTTATAAATGCTAGTATGTCTTCAATTTAGTTATGTGCAACAAAATTGGGAGAGACTGAAAGAGAGCCATTGTAACTCCTTTAGTTCAGTAATTGAGTCTTACAGAAAACCACAAATTCCCACAGCTGTTGTTTAACAGGCTTGTTCTCAGTCACAACACCAGAAAACACATTTATCAGCTGAACTGTGACAAGTAATCTTCACCAAGACTATCTGTCACAAAAGACAGGTGACAAGAAAGTCTATTTTCAATAGATTCAATACACTGGCCCAGCAATCTTTATACTAAGTGGAAATATGACAGGATGGGTAGAGAGGCATTAATTTATGAGCAATTTCCAAGAAACAGTAAAAAGGGGTCAAGAAGTTTTTAAAAATATATTTGAAATTCTTCTAATACCTATTCTGTTACATTTCCTCTATTATCAAAGCTGTCTATCAAAAGACTCTTCACATCTCTAATATTTGAAAGTACTACTGATATTAGCATGTTTTTGCAAGATGAGCTCAATATGAGTATGAGTGGTAAATATTGCTCTTAAAGAAATTACATACAGCACAAAATGTAAAATATGATTTTATCAAAACGCACTGATGACAAAACAATTTTACTCATCTATATTCTCCTTTCCTTTTGACAGTTTTTCTAACAAATTAATACAGAATGCTAAAACAGCCTACCTTCCTTTTTTCTTTTCCCAGAGTATCATTTATAAAACAAAAAGCTAAAATAAGTCAATTTTTCCTAATCTTTCACTAACATGAAAGGCAAACAAGATAATGGAAAAAAATATAGTTACTTGAAAAATACCACAAAACAGTTATAAATTAAATATATAAACCCTAAACTTTCTTATGCAAACATTTCAAATAATAATTTATAGTTGTAAGAGTATATGTATTTTAAACAACACTGTAATAGCTTTATTATCACTAAGATATAAATGCAATTTCTAATAAACAAGTATATGGCACATAAACTTGGTTATATGCTAGAACTATTAATCTATTTTACCATGTATCAAGTCTGTTCTTGTCTATTATTTCCACAATAGAAGATATCTGCTTTGTGTGGATTCAGACCACATATAGTATTATTTCTATAGTATTTTCATGAAATCCCTTCAACAAGCATTTAAGGCAGATAACTTTCAAGTAGCTACATGCCAAGCACAGAACTACTTTCTTCCACACGAGCAGAACAGAACAAATCCCTAACTGTGTACTTACTAATCAGCCTGATGATTATTATTATTTATCCTAATGGTAACACAGTTTGCTCTTTAAAAAAAATTTTTTTTTATTTATTTGAAAGCCAGAAATACAGAGAGAGAGAGAGAGAGAGAGAGAGAGAGAGGAAGAGAAAGAGAGAGATCTTCCATTCGCTGGTTCACTCCCCAAATGGTCACAAAGGTCCAGTCTGAGGCAGGCCAAAGCTAGAACCAGGAGCTTCTTTTGGATCTCCCATGTGGGCACAGGGTCCCAAACACTTGGGACTTCTTCCACTGCTTTCCTGGGCATATTAGCAGGGAGCTAGATTGGAAGTGGAGCAGCTCGGTCTCGAACCAGCATCCAAATGGGATGCCAGCACTGCAGGCAGAGGCTTAATCTTCTATGCCACAGCGCCAGTTCCCACAGTTTTCTTAATTTTGCATATACTTTAAAAATAAATGCACATTTATAAAGTTTTTCATAAGCATACTTATGATAGGACCACATACAGACTTCTAACACATTACATAAATACTCAAGTAACAAACACATTCATAACTTTCAATAGCTATTTCTTAAAAATCTGATTTCCTCTATTTTTCAAATGAATAGTAATTGTAAATAAAGCTACTGGTTTATCAATACTACTCACCAATGTGTAGAACAATTAATCAAAAAGTTTATAATCATTTGCATACTAATTAGATTTTGTAACCCAGAACTATATTACATGAAAGATCAGCTTATGTAATCTTGTTGTAGCTCTATGATTTGATTTGTGGATATATAAACAGCTGCTGCTGACAGCTGTCTGCTGCTATCCTGCAACCAAATAATTCATCTCAGCAGGAACAGCAGTCATTTTTTTAAATGTTTCCCTCCCCTCTACTTTATCAGCATAAACAGTTCCAAAGCAAATACCTTTTCATAATAAACAATACCATACTCCTTATCATCACACTTGACACATCGAAACTCAACCATCAAGTACATGAAATTAGAACTTCGTTTTTCACTCTAAAAGAAAAAAAAAAGATTTTTATAAAAAATTATAATTTTCAACATTCTCTTAAGGTATCAGTATATATCATTTTCCTAATTTAGTAATACAAGTATTTATGAAATATAACTTGTATAGCAAATTTTATTTCATTATATACATGCAGTCTTACATATAACTACTATTTTATTACATATAGCCTTACTGATTTATTCAGTAATGTCTATTATTCACTTCAAATTCCCTCTTGGAACTTAAAAATTTTTTGGTTAGAACATCACTCCTTTGGGTTTTTTTTTTTTTGTTAATTTGGGTTTTATTATATAAAAGACTAGTATTTTGTATACATATGTATAAGTTATCTTATTTCAAAAATAATATATTCTGTACTTCGAACAATTTTATGCAAGTAACAGTTTACTATATGGCTAGTTCAACTAAAGAAGTTAACATCATCTGGGGGCTGGCGCCATGGTACAGTGGGTTAAGCTTACACCTAAGATGATGCCATCCCACATGGGCACCAGTTTGAGTCCTGGCTGCTCCACTTCAAATCCAACTCCATACTAATGTGCCTGAAAAGGCAGCAAGTAATGACCCAAGTATTTGGTTTTTTATCCCCAAAGTGGAAGACCTGGATGGAGTTGTAAGCTTCTTGCTTCAATCTAGGTTGAAAGATCTCTCTCTGTCCCTCACTCCCTCTCTCAGTAACTCTGTCTTCAAAATAAAAAAATAAATCTTTAAAAAAAATTAAGTTTAAGAAAAATCAAAGGTAAAATGAAAGTGAGAAACAAAGGACACAGGTTATCTGAACTTAACAAGTATAATCTTTATAAGTGTATCAGAGTTTATAAAGGGCCTTAAGACGTATTGTCAGTTGTCAATATTATTAATACTTTAAGTATACTAGGTAGTTATCTTGTCCCTCAAGATAAAAATGTTGGTCCGTTATGTTAATGTGTTTTCTTAAAAAAAGTAAACATTACTGCAATGATGTTGTAAAATACAATAAAGTCTAAAGGAATGATTAGTCTTGCTCCAAATCACCTTTAATCTATAAAATCATAAAGGTCTGAAAAGGCTATTTAAATTGCTCAATTTTATGAAGCATATTATAGTCCAGTGTGGTAACTATAATGGTCTCCTATCTTGTAAAAGAGTAAGAGAGGGAAGAATGAGAAAGATGGGGCAGAATAAGAATTACCATTAGATTTTCTAAATCAAAAGGTACCAAAGTGGAATAGAAAAATATAACATTTAGATTAATTTACTTTGGGAATATGACTGCTATAGAAATTTTAAAACGTAAACTTTTCTTTCAGTTTGAGTATTCTGGAATGTATTATGAACAAATTTAGTAAAGATATCAATATCCAAACTGAAGGTAAATAGGTAAATGTTGTTAAACACCACTACAATCATTTTTCAAAAGGACAATCTTTCACTATAAAATTAAAAGGTTTCTCTCTCCTTCCACCTGCTGAGAACTATTAAAGATTATAAATTAAGTCACTTGTGCCCTACAGTGGTCATTATAAACTAGACTTGGATGCTATTCTCTCTTAATTTGATGAACATAATTGTTATTTCTGCTCTCTAGACATAGAATGTTGGCTAAATATCTGGTATTTTAGAGTAAATATACTTTTGTTATAACTTTAGAAAGACTAAATGGAATCTTTTTTTAAATGTTTCATTTATTTGTTCAAAGAGGAGAATGTAAAAGAAAAAGAGAGAAAGACAACTAACTTCCATCCACTGATTCACTCCCCAAATGCCTGCAATAACCAAGGTTTCGTCAGGTCTAAGCCAGCAGCCAAAAATTCAATCTGTGTCTCCCATGTAGGATGCAGGGACCCAAGCAGTTGGGGTCATTATCTGCTGCCTCCCAGGCACATTAGCAGGAAACTTGATCAGAAATGGAAGCAAGACTGGATTCCAGGCACTCCAATATAGTATAGGTCATATTTTAATTAATACACACCAACCCAATATATGAAGTCAAGAAAAAAAAGTTTAAATCTTGTAACTTTATTTAGGGTACATAATCCTAGATTTAGTACATAAGAACAGCAACAATAACCAGAAAGAATTTGCTAAAGATGATTTACAGTAACTGAAGATGCTGCAGTATTCTGATGCAAGATTTATTTAGCATTGTCTGGAACTTGAACATGAGCTGACATGAAAGAGCACAAGTGAGGCATCAAGCCTACAGACTTCACTTACGTATTATAGTATTCCCATGATATCTACTATCTACTTCAGATTCAACATTAAAGTAAAACATAAAAAACATAGAAATCTCTTAGTTTTCTGCTTATTATCACAGAATTCACAGATGTAAGGGAATTATATCCAATAGTCCCACATTTGTGAGGTACCTGGTGGCATATAATTATCCTAGGAAAGAAAACTGATTTAAGAATGTAGAGAAAATATTTCAAAATAAAAGGGGACTAAAACTCACCTCATTAATCATTTCTATTTCTCTGAACGTCAATCTGTCCAGCCAATCCACTTTCACCATGTGTCCCTGTCGATGAGCTTTGGTGAGCTGCAGAACAAATATAATGGAGAAATCTTAACATAGTTCTAACAAAAAAGAAAACTTCCAAATGATACAAGTTGAACACCTTTAATCTGAAAATCCAAAATGCTCCAAAATCTGAAACTTTGTGAGTACCAAGATGACACTAGAAGTATAAAATCCCACTCTCAAGCTCATACAATAGGTCACTGTCTAAACACAGGTACTAAAAATATCTGACTCCAGTATGCATATTGTCAATTACTACTATAATTTGAACTTCATGTCTCCAGGACTGTAAAACCCATGCTTCTCTCATCACTACTTCCTTCTCCCTCTCTGGTGACGACATATTCCTAAGATATATACACTCAACTCATTCCTGTCATTCTCTGGACATCACTTTCATTTTTATGACATAGTAATTGATCTTCCACTAATTTCCTATGGGAGAAAACTAGCAAGAATAATGTGCTAGCGCTTTTTCTGTTTTTCTAAATTATGTATACAAATCAGACATGTTTCGCTGGCCCCAGAATTTATGTTTTTTGCTATATATATATTATCATATCTTGTTGGCTGCTTCTTATATAGCGTATGTCTAGTTTTTTGCTACTTAAATATTAAATATGACCTTTCTCGATCTTAAAAATAACTACCAAACAATGGTTCCCATGGCAGTAGCAAAATTGATGAAGCCACAATGGAGGACAAGTTTAAATTATCCCAAAGGCATGCAGATTTGTGTACTGTAATTTGTAATACTGAAAAACAAGACATAAAAATGAAAATGTCCATTATTAGAGGAAACTGTTAATTATGGTGTACACATGTGCACATACACATGCACACACACAAACACTAAAACATACCATAATGAAAAAAAAATGAGTAAATCTACACCCACTGATAGGGAAAGATGCTACTGAAAGCAAAATCATTAAATGAGAGGAACTGTTCACACTATGATGACTATTCACATGTTTGTCTCCTGCAGATTTGGGGACTAACAGCATATGTTTTTGGTATTTCTCTGTTCAAACAGTTTTATAATTTCTGCAGAACTGAACAGGAACTGCTGAAAATTTCTTCTAGTCATTTGTCTTATCTACTTTTCATAATAACAACAGCAACAAAAATCACTCCCCAATTTAGTGGTTTACAACAATATTTATTATTTCTCACAATTTTTAGAATACTCATCTTCTTAAGGGATGTGTGGCTAATATTTTATATTAGTTTCATTTACAATGCTACCAAAAGACTGTAATCATTTGGTAGACAGAGCTGGAACTTCACTCACATATCTAACACCTTGGTGATAAACGGCAGGCAGATCTACTGATCTAGTGGAGTACCTCTCCTATCCCCATGTATTCTCAGTGCTGCTCTCATTCCAAGTGGTTTTTCAACATGATCACTTCATCAAAATCTTCCCCAAAAGTACAGAAGCAAAAGCAGTTAAGCTGCTGTACCTGTTAACAAACATAGCACTACTTCTGCTGCTTTGTGCCAGTTAAAAAGAATCACAGAGCTAAGGTAAATCCAAAGCAGAAGGATGTAAGTATCAGGAGGTATGTTTCATTAAGGACCATCACTGGAGACTAGCTAGCACAGAACATAAGTATTAGAGAATCCAAGCACTTAATACAATTGATTGTTCAACTGCAAAGGAGAAGAGCAGAGTTTAGAGATGGTATAGTCAGTGCCTGGTTGAACTAAAATTAGATTGAGCAATGGCTAAATGATCGGCTTCACTCATCCTCTTTGAAATAATTTCCTTCAACATTGCAATGAACTGATTACACTTAAGCCACCAGAATGGCTTTTGGTTCCTCAAACCATAAGCCCTTTTAAGAGTTCAAGGTGAGTAAAATAATTAATAATTACTAACTGAATACAAATTTTTATAACAAATGTAATAAAAGTGTACAAACTATAAAGCACTACACAAGCTGTAAGCAATTATTTTAATTAGCTCCATACTTATGTCACTTTATTCTTCTAGATGTTGTTAACAACGGAGGTAGGATTTGGGTTGTTTTTACCAGTACAAAGCAGCTTCTGATTACCCTCAGAAGTTGCACAGGTACTGAAGACCAAAAATGAACTTTAAAACATAGATAAGTGTGCTGACTTATTATTTTATTACTAGAATGACAATTTATGTTTATTTTCACTTTGTAATATCAATGACCTAGATCTTTCCAAACAGAAAATCTGCATTCTGTTAAACAGCAGGGTAAAAATAGTACAATCTGTTTCAAATTGCTTGTGAAGAAATAATTCTCACTAGGGTGCCTATTTTACGAAGGAGATAGGTCAAGAAAACAGTAAAAGTGTTACTCTCTTTTTAAGGAACACAAGTTTCTATAGAACTTAAAAGAATCATACAGAGTTCAGAAGAGAAGGCCACTGTCACAAAAATAATGGTGTAATTATTGAGCCTTAACTTTTACCAGAATTAAACAGCAAGGGGTTGTAAAGCTATTTAAATAAAAGCATCCCCAAGAATCAAATAACAACATGCCCAGGAAACTTCAGGGAGTACTAATCATGTATTATTAGATTTAATGGAAGGACGGAAATATGTGCTTGAGGACGATGTATCAGAACAGTAGGTATTTAGCAAAAGTACCAAGGACAGAACTGAAAGTAGGCCAACTTGCTGCATTGTATCTAGACTAAGAACATCAGTGAAAAGCATTGCAAAAGCACAAAGTGAGCCTTGCAAGCAGAGGGACATCCATGATCTCCATTTCATGGTTCACTGTTCCTCATTCTTACCAACCCTACTAGACTATATATGAAAGGTAGGTAAAACCTAGCACTTATTCACTTGCTGATTGTATTTATTGAAAGGCCTTTGTGTGGAAGGATGATAGACAGGTTGGAAAACAAGTATTTTCAAATGATAGAATTCTGCCCAAGAGCTTTGTGGAATTCAGCAAAAGGAGGCTAGAAAAAAAAATCTTTCCTACATAACCTTTCCTACATAAATCTGTAACTTAATTGCTCATGTCCTCTAACCCTTGAAGTAAGTACATCATGTTGCAAAGAAAAGATGTTTCTGCCATGATGGAACTTCAGAGTTTACAATCAGGTTTGCCACTCCTACTAAAAGAGGTAACTACAAATCAAAACGGTTAAATCAAAGTGATTGGGGCAGAGGGCGTCTTGACAAGTGTCTCTCAGACAAATAACAAGCAGAGACTTGAAGGATAAGGGATCTGACCAACAAACAGGAGTACACCTTTCAAGCCCCTTATTTATCAGCACATCAGTAAACTTTATCTGCCCAGACTTCAGAGAGTCCAAGATAATAGCCCCAAATAAGTACTTAATAAATCAACTTCTGTGCACATTGGAGGGTGAAAAGACCTATATAAACAGAAGATGCTATGCTAGGAATCAACTCTTTTGGAAATCATCTTTTGTGAGGGTTATTACAACCTAGATTTTTATACTCAAAGCAAAAAGATAGAGGAAAAGATGAGAACTGGAAACCAATATTTACTATTTCAATGCTGTCCAAGAATCTGTGGAGGTACATGGAAAGAGATAGACATATACACTCTGACTTCAAAGAAATTTGAAGAGAAATGATTTGTTTTAAATTTTCCTTGGTCGGTTTTTTCCATATTAATATACTCATTTTATCATTATAATAGTAATCAATGAATATGTATTGACTCACAGAATCAGATACTTATACCAAGTTCATAGATGTTATGGAAAGGAGTTGTATTTGCTTATTAAGAGACAGTATGAACAATTAAGGAGTTTAATATCTAATTTAAAAATAAAATAAATTTACAAGACCAAATATAACTAACGAAATACAGAATTGCAGGATTTCCTCCAAATTTTGATACTATAAGCACCCAACTTTGCACATAATATCTGTCTGATAACTCAAAACTCTGAGTTAAATGCAAGTCAAGTAAGTCATATAAAAACCAATGAAAATAATAATTCTCGGCCAGCGCCGCGGCTCAATAGGCTAATCCTCCACCTGCGGTGCCAGCACCCCAGGTTCTAGTCCCGGTCAGGGCACCGGATTCTGTCCTGGTTGCCCCTCTTCCAGTCCAGCTCTCTACTGTGGCCCGGGAGTGCAGTGGAGGATGGCCCAAGTCTTTGGGCCCTGCACCCGCATGGGAGACCAGGAGAAGCACCTGGCTACTGGCTTCAGATCAGCACAGTGCGCTGGCCACAGCGGCCACTGGAGGGTGAACCAACAGAAAAGGAAGACCTTTCCCTGTCTTTCTCTCTCACTGTCTACTCTGTCAATAAAAAAAAAAAAAAAAAGAATTCTCACTTTTCATTTCAAATCAAGAAAAAAATGTAAAATGGATGATGACTTTATAAAAGCAATGAATTTCTATCAACCAGAGTATTGCTGAAATACGCACATTCCACCGGCATCCTTGAGTTCCAGCTGCTCTACCAGGCTTCTGGTTTTAGCTATGCCTAGACACTGGTGTTATGGCCATTTGGGGAGTGAGCCAGAGATAGAAGATTTCTCTCTCTGTGTCTATCTTTTCGTAAGTCTGCCATTGAGGTAAATAAAACAATCTTAAAAAAAAAAAAAAAATCCCCACATTCCACCTTTGATTGGTTAAAAGGTTCAGTGCCCAGCTCCTAACTCCAGATATCTGCCAAAGCAAACCCTGGGAGGCAATGAGGCTCAAGTGACTGGCTCCCTGCCACTCACATGGGAGACCTGGACTGCATTCCTGGCTCCTTGCTCAGGTCCAACCCCAGCAGGCCTCTGGGGAGTGAACAAGAGGATAGGGGCTCTTGCTTTCTCTCTCTTCATCAAATTAAAGTTTTTAAAAAATTAAAAACAAACATTCATATACAATACACATGTTTATATATTTGCTGAAAGCATAAAATCCAAGATATTAATAATACCTCTCTCTTGGTAATTGAGTTAGGGATGATTTTCATAGTCTTCTTTGTGCTTTAACAAGGTTTTATCGCTAGAAGATGTACACATCTTTGTAACAGGAAATAACAAAAGT